CCTAATGTATGACAAACGTTGTAGCCGACAGTATGAAAAAGCTGCTGAAAGTTGCATGGCTTCTCTCCTTTGAAATTGGCGACCTCAAGTGGTTTGCAGAACAACTGCAGTTACATTGATCAGACTGAACAGGTTGGCCAATTTGAGATATTGCCTAAATTTTCACGACGATTAAAGCAACGGAATAGTGAATGACAGATTTAGAATTGTACAAATGGCAATCGTCTTTATGCTTAAAATGTGAAAAACATTGCCCATAGAATGTTTCTGCATTTTAACAAAACAGTTTTAATGGTACATCATTACACATTATCAAAATTGGTCTTCTAATGAAAAAGCTTCTGTCTTATTTATATAAATATAGCCATTCACATAGAACTATTAAAATCATCATTTATCTACAAAAGTTTAGATCCAATGACACAGTATGGCTTTGTCATCCAGATTTCTGTAATGGCAAAGCCAACATTTAGGCAGCACAAAGTACTGGGTAATGGTCTATAATGGCCATCAGCTCCGTTATGTCAAGTCACTCTGAAACTGCATTGTTTTTGTGACAACAGTATCATATTCTCCTAGACTACACATTAGGCATTAAAAATACTGTATATGAATGCACTGCTCTGTAGATCAACTATGCTGATCACAGAAGATACATGTATGTATGTCACAGAAGATACATGTATGGGGTACAATACATAGGCCGTACGAGATCGGATAAAGCATTTTTGTTCTCAAAAATGGAAACAATTTGCTGAAAATAGAATAAAAATGATATTCAAGCATTATGCATGCACTGTTGTACAATGTTCCCAACTGAGTTAAAGGAGAACTATGGGGTCAGGGCTTTTCCCCATAGTTCTCCTTAGGGTAACGCGAGGACACAAACTAGCGTCCTTCCCATTACCCTAAGCTCAGTATACCGCGAGCTACAGCTCGCGGTATACTGAGACGCCGCAGCGGATCCCGACATCGATATCCGCCCAGCTGCGTGAGTGACAGCTGGCTCTGCCTATCTAGAGGCAGAGCCAGCTGTACCGCCCCCTCCCCCAGTCAGCGCTGGCGAATCGGAGCGGGGAATCCAGCCCCTCCCCTGTCACGGCAGAGAGCTGTGACAGGATCGAGAGGTGAGCGAACGCCGTTATATGTTCGCTCACCTCCCGATCTACTGAGCCGACCTGTGACAGTCTCATTGTCACAGGTCGGCTAGAACTATGAGGCGAGTGGAAAGCACTCACCTCATAGTTCTCCTTTAAAGAATTAACTAAAGATAAATGGTTTGTAAGTGTTCTCACTCTTAAAAAGAAATGCAATAGGCAAATTTGTTTTAAAAGAACAGTGCTTAGTTCAGTAATTAAAAGAGCCAAGCCGAATTGTGCTTTTTACTGACCTGAATACAGTAAAGTTGAATCCGATTGGCTGCTGCTCCTCATACTGATTTACTAGATAGGTCCTAACCTGATCGCATCCCACATACAGGAGAAGATGCTATAAGAGGTTCTTAATTGTCTGATATCCTGCATGTACGTGACATTATCATAGATTGGCCTCCATTCATTCACTGCAAAAGCTCTAGATATCATAAGTGACCTCTAAGTCAGTAATGTCATTTTAGTATGCCTTAAGTGCTATTGCAGCTTCATGAATCAGTGTCTTCATCTCAGAATGGGACCCTATACAACACATTTGCCACGTGCTTTAAAAATATGATCCAATGTCACATATAATTACTTTCTCCCATTTTCTTCATGGTGTTAAGTTTAAAGATGATAGAAAAGCAATTAGTAGAGGTATAAGATGGGCCCTATTGTATAGCTTAGGATAAACACATGTTAATTACCCTCTGTGCAGCTATTTCCCTAATTACCTTCCAAACCATTTCACACTATCCATCATTTTCTTTACACAACAGTGAATATCGAGGGATGGATTGTCCAAATGTATACAGTACTGACAAAGGCAAATGAACAGACAAGGAATGCTGCCCGATACAGTGAACTGGTCCCAGTGCCTCTGAAGTGATTTGTGGTGTGTCAGTGTGCTGTTACTTCTTAGGATAGTTCTACATTGAGGGGGTAAATGGTTTTGTGTGGCGAAGCATTCCAAGAGGTCTAAGATTAAAACACGATACATTATCTAGACCAGATGTTGGCCAATACGAAAAGATAAAACACATTTCTCCTAGTCTTTATAATTTCTAAAGTAAAATGCAATGCCTTCCCTTTTTTGACACATTAATAACTTCTAGAACTGATACAATTTGTGCTGGAGGGGAGGAATAAACATAGACCAGCATGGTCCTGAATCCCGGGGAGAAAAGACAAAGCCGGTGTTTGAACTCGAGGACCCAGCGAGAGTGGGACTTAGCCAACTGTTTGATTTACAATTCAGCCGCTCACGCTTTGCAGTCATCACACCTGACAGGGGTATGAAGTGTGAGGCTGGAGAGGTACACATTATTATTTTTCTTTTCTACTGAAATCACTTCAAAGATCTTTAGAGCTCCAAAATTGACAGGTATTGCAAATGCAGCAAACGAAAAAACTGGCGGATGATAAAAGGAAAGACATCACAAGCACAGTACCAGTGTAAATCCCGCTGCTTACGCCTTAATCCATATGATTCCTAGCAGGACTCATGTATTAGCAGTCTATATGATCACATTCTTTCTGTGCAGATGGCAAAGACCGCCATACAGTCAGAAAATAAGGAACTGTGGATTGGTTTAACATGGAGGCATTCTACTGTAGTGGTTATACAGAAATAGACTCGCACTGCACGTCAAAATTCAGCACAATAATAAACGGCTTGAAAATGAAATATACAGCGCATGATAGGTTTATTTTCACTGAGATGGAAGGGACTTGTTTGGGTTGAGTATTCAAAGCTTTATCCATCTGGTGGCTTCACCATCAACAGCATAAAGTTGTATAAAAAAAACTCCACTGAAACAATGTCATCCAATACTTTGCAATTTTTTTCAGGTGCCCAAACACTGGGCGAATTTGGGCCGGTTTTTAATGTACCAGCCCACATGTGCACAGTGTGTGGGGCTGTCGGCTCCCTTTCAGCTGGCATTCCTCGATCAGCTGATCGAAGGAGCCGGCTGGAAATCCTTGTACAATCAGAGCCGGCAGCCAATGAGCTGCCCACTCTGATCAGGTATTCTGACAGGTGCTGGTAGCACCTGTCAGAATACAATGCAAACAGCGGTGATTCCTCCAGCGCTGTTTGTGTTGGAGGAATTGAGTAAATTTTTTTCGTTCAGCCCGCAGGTTGAAAAAAAAAAAAATATATATTATTATTATTATAGGTGTATGGCCAACCTTAACCATCCAATTATGTGTGTGGGACCTCTGCTGCTTCTACTTCCACTCATCCCCTAATATGGGCCATTAAAAGACTAGCTCTTGCCATGCCAAAATGGATTCTCAGTATTAAATGAATGTCAACTTCTTGCATCACTCCAATGGGGAGATCCTTTCTCCTCTGACCATATCAACTGATTTTAAGCTTAGTCAGGTAGACGTAGCTCAATTTACCACTTTTTTCCTCAGAAAAATTCATTAAGAGTGAACATTCTTGACCTGCTTGACAAACAGTTCCAAAGGAATATTAAGGGAAACATTTCAGCAAAAATGCCGAGTCAAAGTTGAGACAGCTTAACCTTTACAAGGAGAACTAGGAGGCAAGTGAAAATCACTCAGCCTCATAGTTCTACCTGTGACAATGAAACTGTCACAGGTCGGCTCAATAGATCAGGAAGTGAGTGAACACATAGCATCGCTCACGTCTTGATCTATCCCTGCAGAGAGCCGTGACTGTCTCTCTCAGCTCCCTACCCCCTGCCCGATCCTCCAGCGCTGACTGGTGGAACGGACGGGCACAGCTGGCTCTGCCTCTAGATAGGCAGAGCCAGCTGTCAATCCCGCAGCTGGGTGGATCTTGACAGTAATGTCGGGATCCGTCCCGGCGTCTCAGTATACCCGCGAGCTGTAGCTTGCGGTATAATGAGCGTAGGTTGACGGGAGGACGCTAGTTTGTGTCCTCCCGTTACCCTTAGGAGATCTATGGGGAAAAGCCCTGACCCCATAGTTCTCCTTTAATGGACAGCAAATTATTCCATAAGACAACCAGCAGGAAGTAAGAAGAATTTGCTATATGCTCAGTATGCTTGAAAAAGCTCATGTTATCCATTTAGTTCGGTCCAGGGTGACCAGACTAGATAAAGCAGAGAGAAGTGTCACACTGAGGCATATTTTGGAGTTAAGAGGCCGTTTTAGTGGAGATCATCTTTAACCTTCAGCAGCTTGGAAACAGAATAAAGGGGCCCAAAAAAGTGCATGTATCTGTGAAAATACCAACTTACTAGAATATGATTTTAAACACATGGGTTAAAAAAAAAAAAGAAGACCAACACACAACTTTTTAAATCTTTCTGTAATATCTGCGCCATATAACCTTATTATAATCTCCCATACGACTACCTGCTGCATGGGAATGTGAAAATGACTCGTATATTGCAAAGTTTCCTCAGATTGTCTCATCAAGCATATATTTTACAGCGAAAGGGTTCATTGCATTTTTTTTTTTTTTTACACAGTCTGTTAGAAGAGAATACATGATATTCAGTTGTCCTTATCTTGTCGGTGGTGTGTTGGGGGGGTGTGACTCCCCCATAGTGCAAATGAACAACACAAAATCCATTCATCCACGCAACATTTAGTGGTCATTGGGAATATCTAGAACGTGAAAAGGCATTTTCTAACTTCCAGGTGTGCCAGGCACTTACAGTCCCTTTCTATGTTATCAACATCTTGTGAATCTCCAGTGAGTGGTCTACACGAAGTGTCTCCTGTACAGAAAAGTCCACTTTGGTCAGGCTGCAGTGCTCGTCCTGCAGTGCTCCGTTTATTTTTACATTATGAAGCGTTTCGATGCGTTTTCACAAAGCGGAGTTTGGCATTGAGAACTGTTGTCACATTTCCAGCAAAACAATTTCATGAGCATGGTAAATCAATTAGTTGGGTACAATCTGTAAAGTATCTGAAAATGTTGAAGCACAGCTACTATTTCATTATACACTAAATTACACAGAAGTAGAATGTTCATCTTCACAGGTCTTGGGTAAGACGGACGGTGTCGCTTTAACATCACTTGTCCTTATTTCACATGGTTACCACCTCATGCGATTGATATCTTTGGTCGAGATCAGCAATGCCCTCTCGGTTCATAGCCACAGTAATAAGACAATAAAGTGTCTATGTACAAATGTATGTGCTCAGGCAACAAATGGAAATCTGTTATTTAGGCAAGATCCCATGTTTGACTCGTGTTACCATGTGATGGCTTGGTGCTGCTTCAGGAATGATCTCACAGGTCAGGGACTACATCATCTTTGAGCTAAGAATAATAAAGCAAACGGCACCATTGAATTAAAAGCAGCTCATTGCATCCATTAGAAGAACTTTAAGCTTCACTAGGTCATTGACTCATGGGGCCACCTTCCTCCATGGGTTCTTCCTGAGGATCACTGCTGAGGAAGCAAATACAAATGATTATTTACAGCCTGCTTATGAAAATACAGAACACACAACCTCTTTTTTTAATGTTATACTAATGATGGTCTTAAAACGAACAATAGGACTGTCAAATGTTCATTTCAATAAAATGATGATATCTTTCATAAATCAATTGCAGTAAATGATCACTTCTATCTATGAATTACCATTTTCACCAAAAATACAAAATATCCTAAAGGGAGCCACAAACCAAATTTACAAAATTGATTTTTTGTTGTTGTATTAGATTATCACTTTCAAGAAGAGGAGAAAACCCCCCCAAAAAACAAAAGCATTACTACAGGCATAAGACCAGTGCAGAAAAATCTTTGCATTCTAGTGATGATCTCCAACTATGGAATCATTGAATTCACAAACATCCAATGTAAGTTGCTGCCAATAATGCAACAGTGATGGGACTTATCTGCTAGTCATTACCACACAGAAAATGTTAATTAGTTAGGTGCAAACATTTTGTATAATTGGCTAATGCAGAGTGATATTATAAATTAAAAAGACTTGCAGGGTTATTCACAAAAAGGGTGAAGAGTTTGGAGAAGGCGGGAGAAGTGAACAATCTAGGACAACATAGCCGATTTGGAAAAATTCTCCAATGCAGCTCACTTTCCAGTTCAGCTATGTTGTCCTAGATTGTTCACTTCTCCTGCCTTCTCCAAACTCTTCACCCTTAAGTGATCAACACTGTAATTTTTTACTGAATCAGAAGGGAACAATTTTTGAGAATAGTAGTAAATTTACAAGCTATGATATAATGGAATATGTAGATCAATATATAGAATTTGTAGATCCGTATATAGACTTCAGATTGTTCTTATTCAAAGCTTTGAGCAGATCAGTACAGGAAGTAACAATGGAATACAATTAGCAATGCAGGGAGTGCAAGTCTAGTTCCATTTGTGGTTTCTGCATTAGGATATCAATACATGTTCATGACAGCTTTAAGCAGTTTATTCTCCGCAAGTTCTCTTCTGTTTTTTATAGCGGATATAAAAAGATCTACTAGAACGATTTTATATGCATCCCAATGAAATGACTTCTATTTACTATCAGAGTATGGGTTTTGCCTATGCTGAAAGCATGAAACATCTCAATTATTTTTCACCACACATATACATTACGACAATCTGAAAAGACGTACTTCCCAGCTGCTGCCAATGTTCTCCCCACAGACAATGAGGCTAGGGCAGTCACAGTGTCCACCTCGTCCCGATCAAGTTTTTGCGCTTCCAGGAGAGAGTACGCAATCTTGGAGGCAAAACGTTTGACGGATGTCCAATATTTACCTGTAACAAGAAAACCTATTATAGAGCACTAGGGCTTCCAGGATATTTCTGTTACTAAAAATGATAGTTCTTAAAAATCTGTGCATGAGATGTGTAAAAAGACTGTCAGGAGACTGCAGAAGGTCTCATTCCTTAGTGGGACTACCCATCAGTGTATGTGCTGTTACACTTCAATGCCACTGAACAAGTGCAGGCAGGATTACACTGGGCTGAGCTGAATCCTTCTTATATGTATACATTTAATCTATTAAGGAGTATGCAGAGTCTTAGGGAAGGCATGGGACCCATGTGCTGTTATCATTTTGCTGCATGTGTTCCATATTACTTCCTGTCCTAGAGATAGAACAGGAAATGAAAGAAAATCTCTACAAAGTGAGGGGGAATGCCCTTCTTGGGCAGGTGTCAGCTGAACAGATTTTCCCATTGAAAAAAATGACAAATGGCATTTGGATTTCCCATTACTTTCTGTCTTTCAGAAAATAGTCACCAGGACGAGTCGATTTATCAAGGTTTTCACCCAAGATTCAGACTTTTTTTCAACAGAATCTTAGGTGAAAATGTGTAAATTTTGAGTGAACGTTGTGTCATTGATAAATAGATTCCAAAGAGGGGGAATCTATCCAGTGGGAACAGAAGGCAAAAACACATCACAGGGGTTCTGACCCTTCACAACTCTATCCAAAAATTTGAAATAAAAATGTTGACAATACATTCACTTTAATTCAATGAAGCATTTCTCAGTTGTACAACCTAAAGCAACCTAATGCAGATGCACTGGCAAAGTGATTTTGGGTACCATGCAGAATGAATGACATCACAGCAATGCACGTTGTGTTAACCTGCATGCTGTGTGAACACTGATGTGAATGGGCCCCAAGACTCTTCTGCCTGCTTGTCAATGAAGTACCACTTCACTCAGCTTACAGAGACCTACAATGGTCAGAGACAATCGTGTCATTATACAATCATTCATAAATGTTCATGGGACCCTGTGACCCATATTTAATGTACAGCCAATAATCAATCCTGGAGAGCAGCCATGATTACCAATCACAGAGTATCACAATTAATCAATCCCCCATGTAGCAGAGCCCTAATCGGTTAAGTCCTAGTGATAGCTCCATGTAAAAATACGACTTTAATTAGTTTCATAGCAACTAGGCTAAATAACAGCTACAGCATACAAAAGGACAACCATAACATCCAGAGCATCCTTGCCTCCAGGAGTGATCACTGAGGGTGGGGAGAGGTGCGGTTTGATTAAGTATAGGCTGTTGCTGAAAGATGCAATTAATTCTGGCCAAATTGGCTACCTCAGACATAGTTTAGTGGCGATTCTATAGCTGCCGATTTCACATTATATTCTGGTATTAATTGAAATGAGATCTTAGTAACATTTGTGACTGATTTATCACGTGGGGAGTCTTGTGACATGCTCTTTGATGTTATGTCTTCCAGATTTGTGTGCAGAAAAGTCATTCAGTGCTTCCCAGCTGCAAATGCTTGCCACGCATTATAGTACAGAGCACTGCGTGGCAAACAGCTTTCACTGACAGAGGGGCGTCCTGCTCCAGAACCCAAGACAAGACTTACTCTGCACTTGAATAACAGTCTCCAATGATCGCACAGCATTGGGGTTGGGCCTCTGCCTTAGAGTTTCTTCGGAGAGGGGATCCAGCTGGAAATGGATAGAAGAAAATTATGGGGATTGAGCAGAACAAACTATTCCCAGAAGGACATAATAAACACCTCTCCAAGAGGGATCTATATACAATATTTGAAGCTATGGAATGACACTGTCACTAACTTATTAAAACATCTAGAAAAGGGAACGGTCTGTGCAAGTCATAGCCAACCAAACTCCAGTTCTCACTGTACTGCAGAGGTCTGAAAAGAGGAGAACCAGAATGATTGCTCTACACAACAGCCATTCCAAATCAATTAATTTGGCATTAATGTCGAGCCGCTTTACCTTGCAGGCTAATAAAGTACACAATTTACAGTATATTCCAATATCTAAAAATAAAATCTAAAACACTTCTAGCTTGGGCATAGTTCAGCTTAAAGGTATGGTTGGATATTTCCTTTGTCCTACAGCTTTAAATGAGGCATCCATCCCAATATGCATACGTATACAAAGAATACCGGCACTTACATGGCTACTTACCAAGTCAATAAACATTGAGGTATAAACCATTCCCCAACAGGAGCACAGTAAATAATATACCGTTAATACTACCCAAGATTTAAGAAGTTTATAGAAGGTATAAACCTCAGCATTAAATCAACCCTGTACGTGGCAGCGTTCTTTGTACATCTACTGCTATAGGATACATGGATAATTCTTTTGTCCTGTACTTTTATTAAGTTCTATTAAGACGCAAATAATCAAGGTATTACATAATTTAATAAAATGGGATTATGACATTGTAAAAAGTGTAACCCAAGAAAAAAAATGCAATACAGTATACTACAGATCATCAGTTTTTAAATCTGGTGACTACATTTGTTTTCTTTAATCAGGTGTTTTTCCAACGTTAACGTCACCAGAAGATTCTGGAAGTAACACACACTGACAAAGCTCACTCACTGTACTGTATCTATGGAGCAGCAGTGTTGTCACCTAGGACAGGAAGTGTAGTAGCAGAACAGAACACCTTACCCTATTCTGATCTGCAAAACATAGGGGGGAAGGTTTTTTCTAGCCCACAGGCATTGTTAACCCTGTGCAGTTCTCACTGAGATAAGACTGCAGAATGCACAAGTCAACACTAAATTTCTGGAAGGATCAACAGATGCTATTTTGCACTTCAACAGATATTACAAAACGCTTTATATAGTATATTAACAGGCCAAAAAGGTGCAAATGAAAAGTCAATTCTTAAAATGTCCTACTTTTTCATCAAGGCTTCCAATTCTTAGGACTATTTATTCCTGTGGGGAGGGCCATTTGTCCAGTATGTTATATCTACATAGCTGACATCTCTGCTTCACCAATACTGAAGTAGAGTGATATAGGTTGTAGAGTACTTTTTAATGGTCTTTCATGTACTTTCATACATGTAACCTGGCAACAGTAGCAGGTTAGCGAGTTGAAAAGTTAATATTTGACATGCTCGGCTGCCATTCAGGATCTCAGAACATGACCGTTTGTGAAACCAAACTCTTTTACAACATAACATCCTTAGAGATGCCATGTAGGAAAAGAGTGCTACAATTAAGGTTCAAGGAGAAGAGGGTTGACTGTACGCAAGTCAAAAAATAATATTGCCCTTCAAAACGACCATAAATCCTTCATAAAGAGGTACTTCCTAATTCTCAACCTCCCTCCATTCTACAAGACTACAGGCGCACTTAAAAATGATGGTGTTGGGTGTTAAAGTGCTATGATGGGTAATCAGATATTCTGCAACTGCTAAAAATATATAATATATAGATTTAAATATATTTTTTGTTATGGATGGCTTGTAGCATAGCATTTGCTACCAAATAAATAATATATTGAAGTAAAACACTGTCCTCACCTCATTGCCCAGTAAAGCAGATACACAGGCCTCAGAGGCATCACATATTGCAGTCAAGTCATGGCCACCTTCCAAAGCCAGCACCACTCGACCTCCAGCCAAACTCATAAGTTGACGTGTCATATGACCAAAACCTAAACACAGAAACAAAGAAAAGCTCAGGATATGATCTAAAGGAAAAAGCCATTTAGGTCTTAGAATTCAAAGTCTGCCTTGCTCTTACACTTAGCCGTCACTTTATATCCTCCAAGTGGAGCAGGGTGTCCTTCAGCTGCATCAAAACCAGCCGATACCAAGACCACATCTGGAGAGAATTCATGAGCAATTGGCATCACCACAGTCCTGTAAAGAGATACAAAGGAAAAGGGTCAGGTTGAGGGTAGATTGTGAATTTAACAATTAATAAACAGCTTTATTTACAATTTAACGGATTATGTAATTACAATATTCCATTCAGTCTCAGAACTACAAGACTAAAACTACAAGATGAAGAATGTCATGTTAAGATAAGCTGCCTCTGGTGTTGTGTGGTTGTCTGACAGATCACTGGCCAGCTCGCTTTTGCTCCAGGCTAATGTGCAGACAAAATAAAGTAGCTCAGCAGAATATTGATACACTGAATCAAGGAACACTATATTGGTTTTGGGCCAATCTATTTTTTTTCTTATGGTTTACAAGAACATACTTTTGATCTTTTACATACTATTTTATTTACTTTATCAAATCTTAATTTTCCAAATGCAAATAAAGCATGCAACACAGAGACTGTTTATAAATTATAAACATTGTGCAGGTATGTTCACAAAACAAACACTGCAACACAGCAGTAAATAGCACAGCAGAAGTGGTGGAGAACTTGCAAACCGTAAATATGAAATACTGATGATTTCATATTTAAGTGACTAAAAAACACACGTGCACGCACGATTTAAAATACACACCCAAATTTTGCACGCGAGTTCTAACCAACATTTACCCATGAATTTTAATGTTATAGAACTGTGTGGCATTTAACTATTTTTCAGAAAAGATAAAATTGAAGGAAAAGCACAACTTTTTGATGTTTTCAGGGCCATTTTTTTTCTTTAAATTTTCCGTGTCCCATTGTTTTGTACTTTAGGGAACAGCCAGAAAAGCTCGTCTATTTAAATGTGTCCGACAAAGTCCAAGGAGCATAATTTTTTTCCACACTGGTAGATGCGACATTCTGTATGCTACATAGCCGAGGTCCTGTACACAAGTAGAACGTTCAAACAACATAAGCAAAAAGAGTGTGCGTGCCCTAAAAGATTAGCCCACCCAAACGAGAAACTTGGGTCTATGATTCATTCATTCCATTCTAATAAAACATAAAATGGGGAACGGGACCACTTTATAATATTCATGGCATGTATTCCAAAAAAGTATTTGACGCACAGATATCTTGCCCCCTGAATCTCCTTGATATGTGAATACGTGCGATTTACCTCTCCAGCATCAACCAAAAACTGAATGACTTGTTGGGACTTACCCTAAAATGCCGATTCACAAAAGGGTGAAGAGTTTGGAGAAGGCGGGGGAAGTGAACAATCTAGGGCAACATAGCCGATTTGGATAAATTCTCCAATACAACTCAATTTCCAGTTCAGCTATGTTGTCCTAGATTGTTCACTTCTCCTGCCTTCTCCAATTGATTTCATGTAAAGCAAGTCCCTCTACTCCTCAATCATGAATACATTTCCAGGTACAACTCTTTGCTTTCTGCACCGATGCTTGGTGATCCATTCAATACCATTCAAAATAATTGGATATGAGCACTGGTACTACCTGCCACTTGGTTATTGGCTATCCCGGAGAGCTAACAATCTAATAAGCAGCAACAGGGCTTCATAAAAGGCAGCAACAAGGAAATAAGTAAAGCTGTGAGCGGAATCATGCTTTCTTTGGGCAGAAAACCTATTTATAGAATGCCTTTCATGTAAAATGGATCCAGATGTAGAAAAGCGGGAAGGGGGCTGCTGGGCAGGAAGAGGCAATCTCATAATGTGGAAGAGAATTAAGACGCTGCAACAGTCACATCAAAAATTCCATTTAACTCATTCACAACTCAGATTTGTAGCACCAACAGCCAAAAAATTAAACAAGATATGCATTGTTCCAAAGGGGTGCCTGCATCCAGAAGTGATATTTTAGCAAGAGGAACCAGCTACCACTAATTGTGACTCAATGTGCCCAAACTAGAACAACGTCTTGGATGGAATGGTCCTTTAAATCTATTTTTTGATAGATGCTAGAGAGCTAAAGCTAGTCACAAATGTTACAGCTGCATTGTAATATTCAGTAACGTCAACTGGTTTGGAACTCAAGTCATTTCACAGGGGGCGAGATTATTGTACAGTCTACAGAAGTGGATGTGATTGTAAGAGTGACTGGCCAAATTGAAAAATAATTTAAATTTGAACTCCAAGCCAATAAAACAAAAAGGCTTTTTATCAGAGTATATATTGCATACCACTTGTATAAATGCCCAGTTTTTATATAACTTCCCATATTTCGCTGCATACAAGAGCCCAGGCAGACAGAGGTCAAGCATTGTGAGACAAGCGTGCTCTATTACGTTACACAGCACTGTCAACATCGCTTGCTAAAAGATGGGAAGAACATCGAGAAGACCTCGTCTGCATTCTGCTGTGTTTCAAAATCCCGTCAGCAGGCTGGGGTAAGGATTGATCAAACAAGCAGGACTTTTTCAGTTCTTTATCCCATAGTCATACTTAGATGGGGAGTACCAGGATACAATGACTTCAGGGAAAGAGTATGTTGAACTGTGCAGATACTTGCAGCTAGAACATTAAAAGTAACCTGTATATACGGTGCCTCAAATTAAGAGTCACATTCTCTAACTGGCTCTAATCAGACCATAAAGTGTATAGTTTAAGTGCACAGTTCTCTAGAATGTTCTCTATGGCACAACATACAAGTAACATGCCACACAGTAAAGCCTTAATTAATACTCTTTCTCCAAGGTGCCTAGTATTTTCTGTTGATCCATTATATTTAGATTTTTTACGCTCATACACGCAGCTGCCTGGTGTCAATTTACAGCTATTATCTGGGTACATTTACTGAAAAAGGAACACATTACATGAAATTGCTAAAGGGGTAATAAGATAGCTTTACAGCCATGCAGAACAATTAGTATCAGCTCACTCCTAATTACTTCATAGGGGTGTGTTTCACAACCACTTTGTAAAGGGCCATCAAATTCAAAGTTATATCTATTATACACTTGGTATGTAATAAACATTGATCTAATGAAAAAAGATGGCAGGTTTTCTTTAGTGAAAAGCAGAACAGCATTACATTGGAGCTGAAAAAGTAAAGCTGGTACCCATGGCAGCCAGGTTCCAGTTGTTATTATTGCTTGTACCAGGTACAGATTAAAAGCAAGCACCTGACTGGTAACAAAATAAAAATCCAAGGTAATCTAATTTCTTCATTCCTTTTCCGTTTGACACCTTTCAACTCCATTATATTTGAAAAATTACCCAAATAGGGATGCAACCCTTTCACTGAGATCAGATTATACCCATAATTGTCTCTCTTCATTATTGGGTAATTTAGGAAGAAAATGACTGACTGCTGTGGACAACCCCAACTGCCAGAAGCTTTTTCTTCCTCTGCCACTGATAAAAAAAGAGGCTGTGTGATTAATGTGTGATGGTTTTTAAACAGATATCTTGACATTGTAAGATGGTGGGAAATATAGCTTTCTGCAATTAAAATACACACATATACTATAGTAGCTGCAGGGCATAGCTGACAGTATAGTAATGCCACTATAGTAGAGCCAGGGTATATGTGACAATATAGTAATGCCACTATAGGAGCAGCAGGGTGTAGGTGAGAGTACAGTAATGCCACTATAGTAGCAGTAGAGTATAGATGACAGTACAGTAATATCACTATAGTAGCAGCAGGGTAAAGCTAACAGTAGAGTAATGCCACTAGAATAGCAGAGGTAAAACAGCAAAACAGATCACCACTATTACTAGACAAAGTGAATTGAGAAGGAGACTAGAACAAGTTTCAGCAAATCAGAAAGCAGAGAGAGGACTGGGTGGACTGGTGCTGGCAGTAAAGAGTGCTGTCATTATCAGTTCATTGGTCTGCTTTACTTTGCTCATCAATGTGCTGCATGCTATACTCTCAACAAACAAGTTAATTAAGGGTCAGTCCAAGCAACGTACCAAGTCGATTAGTAAGCCCCATGCAAATATTATCAACCCTTTAATAATGGCACTATGGCTGTACAGTCTAAGCCCATGCCACTTGCTGTAAGGATGGCTGCACAAGGTTAATAACATGTGTTGTGTGTATTGCACACTGGTGGGGTTTGATGAAACAGGGGGTGTCAGGTCAGGACTATTCTGCAGCCATTCTTTTTGTGTTGGTCCTGTGTATAAAGATACAGTTGTTTTAAAAAGGGGGAAGGCTGCGCTGATGTTGCCCAAATAATACCTGTGACTGTGGACACCCAGAGGGCTTCAGTCCCCAGCTCTCCTCATCCGGCACATTCCACCAGCACTAATAATGCACTACAAGGTCAGAAAAGACAGAAACGAAAAGGAGTGAAAAGTGGGAGCAGAGAAGAGGAGCTAGGAAACCATGAAAAATAAGGGATGGGCAAGGACAGGTAAATGGCACAGAACACAAAGAGATTTACCTGAATGCCGCAAGGTACTCTGCATCACCCATAGGAGGATCCAGACCGCCTGCCCATGCAACATTCACATTCAAACCTTCCCCACTGTTGGAACCAACCTGAAAAAAAAAAAAATCAATGCGACACATTAAATAGCAGGATAGGCAGTAAAATGACATTCATCTGCTAAAAGACAACACGTGGATAAGAACCATTATGCCGCCACATTTTAGCCTTTTTTTTTTTTACCTCACAGATTGTTGAAATGACTACAAGTCAGCTTTTTAATCAAAATTTAGGCTAAAATGGCAATCTGACATATAAAAAGTAAAAAATGATTTCCAGCACGTGATTTCATTAGAGGTGCCTGAAATCAGGGAATACTTTCCACTCAGCTCATTGCAGATGGATGAACTAGCATATCAGAAACAAAAATAGATAGAAGTGGAACTGTAGTTATGTACAAAAACCCATACAACACCTTGCAGGGCATGATAAAACAGTTTACCATGACATTACCCATTAACCCACAAATGTGCTCTCGTTGTAGCCATTTGGCTACAAGCTGCTCTGAAGATGGAACACAACGTCATCTGTAATGCACAAATACTGGTCTGGTTACATTCTGACTGTCTCACCTCTCAAGGACCAAAGCCTGGCCACATCCTTTCACCGTACACATTGCACCCTATAGTTAACCCCCTCCTTCCCTTCCCTCTCCCCATACAGATCTTAATACTATCCCTTTTTTTGTCTTGTTTATTCTTTTCACCACACTTTGATTCTTCTTTTTCCTTTCTTTATCATATTGACAACTTACCTGGCTCCCTAAACACTCAACTCAATGCTTTGTGTGCTTTTCCCTCTATATAGGAACATACAGTGATACATTTCACTTGGGACAAAAAAAAGAATCTTCACAACTGAGCCACGCAATGCACACGTTGTGTTACGATCATAATCTCACATCCATTTAGTTCCCACTTTATATCACGGTTTCTGATTTTAGAAATTACTTTTAACTGCTATGTGTACCTTTGTACACTGTCACTGTTACTGTCAGTGATTTGCTCTTTCAATTGTTTTTACTTCTTCCCCATATGTTGCTACCTCACCCTCCTGATCAATATGTTAAAAAAAAACCCCACAGATCTCAGGTGCACACAGACTGATTTTTTTTATGTGTCCAATAGCTGTATCCTGTGAATAGGATTTTCTGTGGCTGAACCTAGCTTTTCAGTAGACAGCCAGTTATACTATAGGCTGTAAAACAATGCACAAGCCCTAAGCAGCCCATGGCAATGAACAGCAGAGGATATCTACACATAGTTTACATTTTACATTAGGAGGGGGTGGGCTTTCCTTTACAGTATTTGTACTGAAGCCTATTGCTTCCTCTTTAGCTTAAAATTGCCCAAATGCTAAAATACTAGTCTGCTATAGAAGTGCTTAAGCAAGACCTCATCTTTATACCACCAGCAAGCCCAAAAAGTTGCCAGAACACCCCTGCTATATATATATGGCGACAAAGTTGTCAAACATGAGTAAGAGTGACAGCTGATTATAATTAGATAATTATTACTAAACATCCATTGCCAATTAGGCAATCATAAAGGGAAAACACAAATTTAGATACAGCTAGAATGATATGATGATCTATAAACACATTTAAACGGATGTAACAGATGTCTGGGGAGAATCAGTGCTTGTATTGCTTACAGAAAGCAACGGCCCTTTACCAGTTGCTTTCTCAGGAAAATGTCAACAGATGACATTTATCTTGATAAGCCAGCCACCCGAAATAGTGCAGCAACAAGGCTTTTCTCTAGATAAAATAGTTCTGACTGGAAAGTTCAGGCTTTTGACTCTGCGTGCACTGAAAAGGTTAACAGTGCAGGAGATGAAACTTGCTCTTGCCGGCTTCAAACGATAAAATGCAAGTGTTCTGTCCATCACTTTTATAACATTGTTTTCAAAGGAGTTATTTTGGGCAGGAATGCTTATTTGCCATCTGCTTTGCATCTTCCCTCCCCCTTTTTTTTTTTTCACAAAAAATCCTTTGTTCTTCAAAAATATCAAAGTGATGATGATAAACTGTTTACAATGCAAAATCCTCTCAGGCCCTCATCCACGGCATCCCTTCTGTAGTAGAGGCTGCACGTAATCAGCTGTGTCAGTCCTAAACTGTTCCTATGCCATCTGTCTGCAATTACAGGAAGATGCTGCAAAAGATCTAATGCAGTGAAAAAAGCATGGCATTACAAGCCTCATTGCTATAGGTTTGCCTTGGTAACAAGTCCTCAGTCAACAGGTGTGGGCACGTCAAGACTTTAAGCAGCCATCTTCTGACTGGCAAGATAAGATTTAATCTCTTTGGTTACTTTGGATAAATGAATACTGTTAATTAATTCTGCACATTATAACTGCTGCCAGGATCAAAGAAAATGCCCAGTACTACCAGGTATGAAGTATGCGACTCCTGTGCAAAATAACTGGTGCTAGGGTAATTGGCCTAGTACTGTCACATGGGGCTTGGGGAGTTCTCAGACCTGTGTAGGTCTTGACTTGAAGTTTCCTCCCCTTGTTATTTAAGGTTGAACAGAGCCTCAAAAGCAAATCAGAAAGAGGAGTATGTGCTTCTGGGGGATGGGAAACATTTTTTTGTACCTCTGCCCCCGACTTTCAAAAGACCACCGCCAGAACCTCAAATCGAGGCCCACCAGAGGCTCCAATACTGGAATGTTAAATCCCAAAAACAGGGTGTAGCTTCAGCAACAGTGATTGAGCAGAAGTTGAGTTTCTCTGTAAAGTGTACTTCTGAGCTCATGAGGCTCCCGAAATTAACAGAAAACGTTTAAAGGATCATCAACATTATGTACAGATAGCACAAAGATCCTGCACTCTGCCAACTTTAGCTTGTAGATGTGATGCAATCACTCTGCCCACTTGTGCCACCCATTCGTATTAGGCACAGTCTGCTCATTCAAAAAAGTTCATCAATGGTAATATATCCTGTAAAGCATTAGCAGTTCGCGGACTGATTTTTTTTCCTTGTTGCCTGGAGCAGTCTTAAATAAGTCTGCTAGTGTGGTTTATTACTGCTGATCATGGTTTATGATGAAAAGGCGGCTTTGCCAGGCCAGTGTCATTATGGAGACGGTTATTACCTCGTCAGCGGCTCCACTGCCAGGAAAAAAGTTGCCGTCATCATGTCGATGAAGGGAGACGTATAGTACATTGGGATCCCTGTAAAACACTCGTTGTGTTCCATTGCCATGGTGAACATCCTGGTGATGAAAAAGAGAACATGATAAGTAGTGAATCGGGACTGATGTTTAGCATTGATTAAACAAACGTGTTTTAAAGATTAAATGTTATTAAAGGATTTTGCAAGTAAATCACCCATTAATCAATTTTAGAAAGTTATTTTTTTATGTAAAAGATATCGCCAAGACAATGGAGATATCCTATCTGCCAGGGTTTCCTCCGATGTAGTAAAACAAAGGAATCCTCAAGTCACAAAAGGTCTCCTCTCTGTTATGAATAGTTCCTGCAAACCCCTTAAGCAAAGGCAAAAGCTTAAATTAATTTATTTGCCAATATCACTATCAAACTTTGAACATCTAGATTTTAGATCTAGGTTCATGGTCTTTGCCAGTAGAACACAAATGATCTGCACAATGGCATACACATATCCACATGCTCAGAAGCCACCTTACAAAATCAGCCACAGTACCTCCACAAGCATAACTATCATGGTCTTAACAAAACCACAGAAGCAAAGTCATAGACCATCACAAACATGACAGATATCCACAACCAACCACTGCTCCTATGGACATCACCACCAATCTAAACAATGACAAGGTCATCTGCAAACCAGCACACCACAAGAACAATGGCACCTCCCTCCTAAACCAGTAGTGATACCACAAATGGGTTACTAAATTATAGACCCGTGCTGCTGAAAGCAGGCAAAACATTATCACCATTCTACAGAAGGACAAGTGGGCCACATGACTTGGAGCCAAGAATGACAGAAGAAAAGAATACAAGTGGAAACTAAAGCAGGAATGCTGACCTGTCAGTTGCAAAAAAAGATGCACGTCTAATAATTTACTATTGGCCTACTTGATTAATAAGTTCAATAACCCTTCCCCTCCTTAAAATATAATAGCAATTTAAATGTATAGCAGGCATCTAATAAATACCTGCACATGCCTTTGTATAGCCTCATTCCCTGGAAGCCATAATCCCAAAAGGTGCTTCAATAATAAAATCTTGGCTTATGAAAAAAAAGTTCCTTGGGCTATTACCACTGAATTCAGATCATAAGGGCTACGTAACTAGCATTTTCTAAATGAGAAGACAGCAAGTGTAGCCTATGTATTCCTTTAACAGGCCTTATGAACTTACCTAGACCTCCAGATACATGTACGAGACTTTAAACAGCGGTAGAAGGAGACACTGCTGCTTTGTTAGGCTAAACTACACAAAAAAGAGCAAATAGGACTCACCCAGTCCACAATAAGGATCTTCCTCACATCAAGTCTCAGTTGCAGTTGTTTGGCTGCAATGGCCACAGAGTTGAAGAAACAGAAGCCCCTGAAAAAGCAATAAAGCAAAGGTCAGGACACACAGTAAACCTAGCTGCAGACATCAGAGGGAGAGGTCCGATGTGGAGACACAATCAAAATCCTTAACGATACTAAAAGATACTGCTCGTGAAAGACCGTTTGATAAATATGGAGTAACAATCATGTAATCTCTACATGTACCTTAAGAATTTGAGCCCTAAATGATCTACCTCTACAAATGAACAAGCAGCCTAGAACAAATGTAAACATCCTATTTTATGTTACACCTTAGAGAAATGTGATGCAGTCTTCTACTAAGATGGACTGTAAAATGTTTTTAGCAAGAAAATTAGGCTACCACTTGTATTGTAAAACAAACATAGGCTTAAACCCCCGCCCACCCCCCAAAAAAACCAACAAAACCAAAGTCAATTGCCACACTCTGGGCAGGCAACGCCAACCCCCATATCCAGTGGTGCCCCAAGTTGCAAAAGGCAACCTTAGTTGAGGGCTCTGACCCAAAGCCTCCCACTCCTTGGTTAGTAAGGTTCCCCATCACAGTAATGGGCCAATAGCAAGCCTTGGTAAACTAAAGGAAACAGGAGATAAGATCCAAGTGCCAGTATTTGCTCATTAGTGCTCCCTTGGCTTTGACTATCCTAGGACATGCCACAGGAGACCATGCCAGTTATGCAGGCAGATGCCTACTAAGCACTGTGGCAGTTTACTATGTTTTCAAAATGCGTGTGTGACCAAGAAAAGTGTAATTGCACACATTTACTAAATACACAGTCAACGTTTCACTGTGTCTGCCACCATCTACATAAATCTTAGTGTTATACAAAATATGAAGGCAAAGACACCATTGTATAAATAGATCCAGCACAAATAGTCATGATACCAGCAGTAGACATAGGGAATATTCGTACATAGCAGTGGATGGGTCCGCATGATGTCCTGGGGGCCTCACCAAAGCAAATCCATTCTGTAAAAAGACAAAGTCTGATGAGAGGACAGCGGGATCACATTTATGAATTCAGCTCTGAGGCTCAGGAAATAGTCTGCTCGCATATAAAACAGACATGGAATTATATTATGGTGGTCATCCAAACAGGTGCAGCCAATATGTGGGTTACAATATTTAATACAAAAATAAAATAAAATGTATTTATATTACCCAATTGAATACACAAAATGACCAGTACTGGTAGCAACTTTCTGCTCTCCATAGCATGGCAATGGAAGAAGAGGTTTTCAGGAGGTCACAATTCTCCAATTACAGTTGCTATAAAGAATATTGTTACACCACGTACCTTTAATTCTTGTGTTACAACTTTAAATGCCAATTCAATCACGCTCCCGGCAGCCCAGCGAGCAGCATTTGAAGAATGGAGCTCATTCCAGATGGTATCACTGTCCACCTGCAAATAAAAAAGCATGGTAAAAAATGTGCAAAGAACCAAGTATGCATTATTCGGATAAAAACGTTAAATACTTTTAAGAGTAATATCTGTAAAAAAATAAGTCAAGGCAACTGGACTTGCTGTATTTGTCTTGAAGACATTTCACTGGTCACCCAACCAGCTTTCTCAATGCAGAATTGAGAAAGCTGCCTTTACTTTTTTTTTTACAGCTATACCTTGACCTGGATGAATGATAACCTTCACAGACATATTGCTTTCAAGAGTAATGGAATTGTGGATGCTGTACAACAAAAAATGCCTACAGGGGGCACAGACTTAGTCACCAGTATTGCCTGTGGTCTCTCTGCAGCTGACCTTCTCTAATACGGACTTACCATGCCTTATTCTGCACTGTCTCGCTTTATGGAGGTGGCCATCTTGGTAGAAGCAGGGCTTTACTTTTCCATGGCATTTCTAGGAAATGCTATTTACAAAGCATCCAGGCAACCTTTTACAGAAGTCGCTGACTTCCTAAAGTGTATTTCCACTTTAGCAGCTAAATTGGGACTATTTTATATTTGTTACATGTTCCCATTCACAAAAAAAAAATGCTTCTTGTAATTTAAAATTACTTTTACATGGGTTAGAGTTTCTTGCCTTTTTAAAGGGTTGCATTTTCTACTAGCTTCTTCTTTGTAATAGGAGGGGTTGTGAGGTGTGAGGGCAGATTAGAACACAGCCTGCCCTAAAAAAGGGTTGAAAGGATTAAAAGCCTGGCTTCTGCACTGTATGTTAATGAGAGAAACACATTCCACACAGTTCTGTTCCAAGTCTTTCTACAAGGACAGATAACTGAAGGTGTTCCTGGATTCAGCCATTTTGTCTGCTACATCTTAAAGGTAATAAACATATATATTTCTTTCTTTATGCTGCGTGAATGGGAACACAAATATATAAAGGGGTTTTCTCAAATTTCATTGCAAAAGTGGAAATACACTTTAAGGTCATAACCTGAGTCATCTAACACCATTTTAGCAAACAAGCACAACTGTAATCTATACATCACTGGGAGAAATAATGGAATTGGGTAAAATTAAGCTAACAAAGCTCATCTTACATTCATGTAAAATGGATCACTATTTTTATTTGTCATTCTCTTGTTCACTCAAGTTCCTGGTCCACATACTGCGTCATTAGAAATTTATTTTCCAAATGCCAGTTGGTAACCCAAAACTAGAGTGTCTGACTGTATTACCGGAGGATGCTCAGACCCAGATCTTCCAGTGCTTATGGATAAAGCGCTTAATGATTTTGGGTGAGGCAGCAGCTTGAAAGCCAGTGCCTGCCCGTGCCTCTGATCTCAATTATGGTTTGTTTTTAGGAATAAACGCACTGGAAAGGAATTTATTTTATCTTTTTTTTTCTTCTTCTTCTTTCATTTCCCGTGAAACATCTTGTTTTCATCAGAGTCGCGTCAGCGCCAGGGAAATAACAAAGGAGACACGGAAAAACCTGGGGGATTCTGGACTAATCAATGCCATGTGTGAGGCCTTAACTCAATCATCCCCTGAGGTTTAGCTGGCACAAGGCTCGGCTTTGGGTGAATCACTCCTGGGACTAAGAGTTTATGGGGAAATGTCAGTTTATCTGGTCAGGGTCCTTAGAGAATGAGCCATAGCAGTGTTGTTCCAATGAAAGTGTAACTATAACTTTTATAAAGATGTGAATAGAGTGGTGAGGCACTAGAACCACTGTCAGGTTTTTATTGCTGTCTTTGTCCCCGTTTCACTCTCTCCAATTGTCCTGATCACCATGGTCACCAGGAACGAGCTGCTTCCGCATTGGAGGATTTCCCCTCCATTCCTGTGCTTGACACCTGTCCCCATGACACCTTTCTACATGAGCATTTCCCTTACATTGGAAAGCTATGCCCTTACTTCCTGTTGTCTCTACAGGCAGGAAGTGAGGGGAAATCTCCCTAATAAGATACACATGAAGAAAAAAAACTGACAGCAGTTTCAATCCTTACCTACTCTATCCAAAATTTTAAAAAAAAAAGTAGTGGCTTTAAATATAGTTTACGTGCTTCTGCTCTGCTTAACAGTTAAGAGTAAAGGAATGTATTTTCACGTATTCCATGTGTTAGATGAAAGACTACCATATTTCGCTGCAGGATAAAGGAACACGGTTTCTAATGTACCATTAGCTGAGAGCTTATCAAAGGGGACAGTTGGGACCACGCATTCCTATGGTCTCTATAAAGAGGTGCAATCTTGAAGAGATTGACTTCAAAGTGTCCCACTGTCAGCACATACTGTGAGATATATAGGTGTTACTCCATCTGAGAGAAATATATGGTGAAATCACGAGAAGCAAGAGATCACGCAAAGTGCTTATACTGCAGATGTGATGCATCTTACTCTATTTCATATAAATGCAGTGTAGACGCGCTAAGCAGTCAGACATTAAATATGGTCAGATTAAAGACGCAGGGTTGCTATGGGTTACTGTAGTTTAAATCCTGTTGTCTTGTCATATTAAATAAAAAAAGTTGTCTTTAGATCTTTAAAGGCTTATCAGAAATATTTTCTGCAGAATACATGAAGATATCTTTAAAGAAAGACTCACCCCGAGTCCTCCACATGGCAGCATGACAAACATCCTCTGAGCAAGAATTCCTACAAGACAAAAATAAAAGAAAATATCACTTGTGTGAAATCCAAATGAGAAAATTTAGGAGGAATGGGGGCAACTGCCAAGAAAGCTACTTCTCAAAGTTCGAGTTGCAGGATGCAATGTTGCAGCTTTAAACTTATAACCCCAATTCTGAAAAAGTTGGGACACTGTGTAAAAGGGACACTGTGTAAAAGCTACATAAAAATAGAATGCAATGATCTGCAAATCTCATACACCCAGATTTAATTCACAATAGAAAACATCAAATGTTTAAACTAAGAATATGTATCATTTTAAGAAAACAAATAACGTAATGATGAAAATTGATGGCAACGACGCGTCTCAAAAAAGTTAGGACAGTTTCATGTTTACCAGAGTGTAGTATCCCTTCTTTTATCAACACTCTGTAAGTGTCTGGGAACTGAGGAGACCAGTTGCAGGAGTTTTGGGAGAGGAATGTCTTCCCGTTTTTGCCTGATAAAAGGATTCTAACTGCTCAACAGTCCTAGGTCGTCTTTCATTTCAAGATGCACCAAATATTTTCAATTTATGAAAGGTCTGGACTGCAGGCAGGCCAGTTAAGCACCTGGACTCCTACTATGAAGCCATGCTGTTGTCATAGATGCAGTATGAGGTTTAGCATTGTCCTGCTGAAATATTCAAGGCCTTCCCTGAAAAAGAGGTCATCTGGGTGGGTGCATATGCTGCTCTAAAAACTGGATATATCTTTCAGCATTGATGGTGCCTTTCCAGATTTGCAAGCTGGCCATTACATACGGACAAAGGAACCCCCATACCATCAGAGATGCAGGCTTTTGAACTGAATGCTGATAAGTCAGAAGGTCCCTCTCTTTAGTCCGAAGGACACTGCACCCATGGTTTGCCAAAAAGAATGTCAAAGTTTCATTCGTCTGACCACAGAACAGATTTCCACTTTGCAACCGACCATTTTAAATGAGCTTTGGCCCAGAGAAGATGGCGGCGTTTCTGGATCGTGTTCAGATATGGCTTCTTCCTTGTATGATAGAGCTTTAACTGGCATTTTTGGGTGGCACAGTGAGCTGTGTTCACAGACAGTGATTTTTGGAAGGATTTCTGTGCCCATGCAGTGATGTACATCACAGAAGCATGCCTGTTTTCAATGCAGTGCCGTCTTTTTTTTAGCCTAGAATGGACTTTTAGTGCGTACCAGGGTGTTTGCATGCGTTTGATGCAGTTGCATGCGTTCCAGAGCAGGTAAAATAGGGCCTGCTGGAGTTTTTTTTACATGCTCTGGAACTGAACACTCTGGTGTGAACTAGCGCCCCAAATACCATTGGAATACATTGGACGCAGTTTTCATCCGGTCTGTAACGGCTCTGCTCCTGGAACGTGCTTGGTGTGAACTAGCCCTTACTTTGCCAGCTTTTTGTTGCCCTGTCCCAACCTTTTTTTGAGACACATTACTACCATCAATTTCAAAATAACCTTATTTTTTTCTTAAAAATTACAGAACTAAAAAAGTGAATTTTCTCAGTTTAAACATTTCATATGTTTTCTATTGTGAATTCAATATGGATTTATGAGATTTGCAAATCATTGCATTCCGTTTTTATGTAGATTTTACACAGCGTCCCAGGTTTTTCAGAGTTGGGGTTGGATTAAAAAATGCTTTCCACAAGCATTGAATGAACAATTGTGAAAATGACTTAGAAACAGCAAGGTAAAATTTGGTCCACCAGCTGTCAGGGCAAAAGCCAGGAGGTTCCAGCACTGTGCTTTTTAATTCATCAGCTCAGCCACATATTGATTGGTAAGCTTTCCTTTTGACCTGGAAATTCTAAAAGGGAAAATCTATTTTTGTAAAAAAAATAATATATCATAAAATTACCAAATGGCTTGGCAATTTTATGTATATAAAAATTACCTTTTCATTTCAATCTAAAGCTGCTGTAATCTTATAACATTGTTCAAAAAATGAAATGCAATACAGCAACCTGGAGGTTTTCTGTACAGATATTATATGGAATACCCCCAGAAATGTAATTTCCTGCTGTGTGGCTGACTCATAGATTTTCCCAGAAGTCTGCACTAAAATGCAAGTAACATTTTTGGCAAACCCTGCAGGAGAAACTACAATTTTGGTGAGATACTCCCTAAGGGTTAACTACCTCAAAAGGGATGCAGACACTGCACTTTCAGTGTTTTGATGAGAAATGTTGCAGCCTGGAAAGGACATGGTGAAACAAACCGCTTTTTCTACAGAACATCCCTGCAATGTGCTTTGATCACCCAGGGGGTGTTACATTTCTCAACAAAAGTGGAGCTACACTATAAAGTACTGTAGACTAAACACTGCAAATACAGGTGTTGGTATTCACACCTACTGTATATACAGTCCTGGCAGAGTATCTCCCACTCTCCTGTTATCTATATCTACTAGCAGATATGTGCCTTATTGCTCTTTTGATGCCCTTATTGATGAGGATTTATTATAGCATATATTCAGCAGCAAAGAACTAGACCATGTACAACCATCTCATGTTTTATATGTTCCTGCTTTGACTGTAACAAAATCTCTTTTATGACCAGATATTCTAGTCAAATAAATCAACCAAATGTAATATGCTGTAGTGTATAGTTTGTTTAGATATAAAACACAGACTAAGACTGTTTTTTACATTAGGGTGACCAGAGACTATGGAATCCCTTTAAAAAGATTACCACAAAGATGAATTGGCAGCAGCCGCGTACACTCTTGCAATACCCTCTCTGAGAAAAACAAATCAAGGGTGTATAAATATAAAACACACATACATACATACATGCATATATAAGCGCACACACGCAATATATATTTTATTTACTGGCTGCATATCTTAGACTGTTACTAAAAGGGAGAATATAAAAAGCTGTATCTGAAATACCATTATAAAAATACAGAACAGCAAGCATGTATAAAAGGAGAATTTGACAATTATCCTCAGGTGGACTTTAGGCCCCGTTCACATTGAGCGGTTCGCGCAAATGCTTGCATTGAGCAAGCTTGAATCGCGGCAAAATCCGCTCCAAAAAGGGTCCTGCTGTAGCGACACACGACCCGCGACAGCAGGAAACTTTGCCCCATTACCGCGCGATAAATCGCTCAATGTGAACGGGGCCTTACAGTTAGAGTAAAAGGTGTATAAACTGAAAGTATACTGTAGTCTACCTAAAGCATAGGAATGTGACAAACTAACATAGTACACAATCCTCACCTGGGGTTCTGTACTGCAGGAATGATTACATAATTTATTCCAATATTAATATTTGGGGGCAGGCAGATTTCCTTTACATTTCTAAATGGTGATTATGAAAGTTATAAAATAATCACAAGCCACAACATATGGTTCAAGAACAGAATGTTCAGAAACACATGCATGTCAGGATGAAATTAAAGGTGGCACATAATGAATCATGAATGTTTATTATCATCCTGGTGCCCGAGATAAGATGGAAAAAAGAAGAGACAGAGAGCGAGAGATGGAGACAAAGGGAGAGGTCTTCTATATGTTTTTCTGCCAGAATATTACATTCTGTCTAGTTGATATAAGTACAGAAGGATTAGGATGAAGGGTGTAGGCAGAATTCAGGAGTGTCTACATCAGATCAAGTAGGTCCACATGAGAAAAGGCTTCTGGCCTTTTATTGCCTATAGGGAGTCACTCCTCTACTCATATCATTTATTTCACACACCTACTCAACAGAGGGGGCCCCAGTAATCCTCCAGTGTTGTGGGATAACAGAGCAAGTAATTGTGAGAATATATAAAACATAAAATTCTCTAATATCAGAGGCAGAACCTGGGTTATTAGATCATAGTGCTTCTTGTTGCACTACCTCCCGATTGAACAGCGAGTTTAAAAGAATCTGAGTAAAAGGTCTCCACCGGCCTGTGTCAGGTACTGGGGGGCTCAAGCTTATCTTGTAAGATTTTTTGTGTTTTGCAGATAAAAGCCATGTTCTATGTTTGGATAGGGAAGGAGTTTGGTTTTTCCTCTCCCAGTGACATGCCCAGTTCTTGCTCCCATTTTTGCACAAAATTCCTATAGGAGTATGGCCAAAGCCTTAAAAGACAACTACAATTCGGCTATAAACCCCTCCCCCAGTAATCTAACTAAGGGTGGCCATACATTGTATGATTTTTGTTCGATTTTTGTTCAAAAGACCGTCACATTGTACGATTTCTGAACAGTTGATGGTACACCACCAATTTTTGTTTTTGATATTGTGATCTAAATTTTTCGTCAGGTTGGAAAAAAAGTGTGACCGGGAAAAAAAAATAAAAAAAAAAATCGGTGGGGTTTTTGTTCATCAAATCTCAGCAAGAACACAGCACATGCGCAAAAGGAAATTATTTTCGCAGTTCGTCAAAAATTGGTTGGTTAGTATGGCTAACGATTTCCAAAATTGAGATTTGACTATGCTTGATGGGGAAAGTCTAGATATAACTGAACAAGGGTTTGTGCCAGAAAGGAAAATTTTTTAATGAAAATCGTACAATGTATGGCCACCTTAAGAATCATCACACATACACCCCTCTGTGGCAGCTGCGACCTCCCAAGGTGTTTACCCTGGATCTAGAAATCTCCACACAAAAAAAAAAAACCCTACACAGGTTGGGTGGTGGTAGAGGTTAGGTTAGGGGGGTTGGGGATTTTTGTAGCAAAAATACGTTTTACAAAGTGTTCCTAAAATACATTAACTGCATTCCTTCCATGTTCTTTTTAAATGAGAAAAAAAATAAGTGGAAAAAAAGAATTTAAATACAGCTATCTTGCTATCTTAGTGCCGACCATGTTTGCCCATAAGATAAACATATACCTACTGCCAGTGCAAAAAGTAGATATAGCAAACAAAGGCTACAAATTTGCAGATTTCTTCTTTACAGAAATACTATTTACCAACATGAATGTGAAACGCTTGGTACAACTAGCCTAAGGGACTGTTTTACGAGAGAACAGTTAGAACGGTGCTAAAGCCTTCCCATGTGCAGGTGCCTAAACAAAACAAAAAAATGAAATTGCAAAAACGCAATTATGCCCATTGTGGCTTCCTAGGGGAACAATTGGAAATTATGATCAATCTGACAGAAAAAATAGTCTGTGTACATTCAGCATGTTATGGTTTGTAAAAGCAGATTACCGAGTCATAAGCTGGCCATACACAGACTTACGTCTAAACTTTCATTAAAAAAAAAAAATCTTGTATTTTCCATGCTGCTCCTTCAATGATTTTCATCACTGCGGTTGAAATCAATGATCAAATTGACCTCATTATTAGAAAAATTGAAAGAAGGTTCCAAAAACTATTTTTGTTTTAACCTTATTCTAACAGTGAGCTTAGCAGGATTTGACTAAAATGAAGTCTTGCTACATGTGATATTTAGACAGCTGTATGAACCCACACGAGGGCAGCAGAGTACCAGTAAATGAGTAGTAAGAAATCCTGGTAAACTGTAAAATGTGATCCTTCCCTCTCACCTTTACAGTTGTCCAGCAGCCCAGAGAAGGTCAGCAATGGCCATTTATCCATTTGTCTCTTGTGCTGACAAATGTATCATTCTTTAAAACTGGTTCATGTGCGTAAACATTGTTTAGGGAAGTCCAACCTGTAAGAACTGATGGAAATAGAACCCTCGAGTCCTGGGTTGTTATCGTGGCCTGGATTTAGATTTTCCACTACAATAACCCTATAGTGCTCGGTATTGTGATAATTCCAGTGTAATCTTATCTTCATTATAGCTGATAAAAAGCAGGGGCAGACAACTGTCAATGATTAGCTTGCTCTAAAGTGTTTTTTCTTAGAACTCCAAGTTGTTCACAGTTAGAAAACAAATTACATTTGGCAAATGTGGAATGTTATAGATCCACGGGTTTACTTTATGACTCGGCATCTAATGTGTCAATAAAGGTCCAATATAAGGCCCGGTTCACACATGGGCGTTTTGTAGCGCATTCCTGTGCTCTACAAAACGCTCAGACACTGAAATCCCATTATTTCTTATGGGTATGGTTCACACCTGGGCGTATTACAGGCTGTATGAACGCGCTACAAAACGCCCTACGCCCAAAGAAGTACAGGAGCTTCTTTGGGGCGTTTTTGTCGCGCGTATCCATTGGGATACAGCCATGTAGCCCTCGGAAACGCGTGCTTGTCGCGTGGTTTTTTACCACGAATCGCGGTAAAAACACGCGACACGAAACGTGCGACAAACGCGCATATTTGATACGCCTAGGTGTGAACCCAGCCTAACTGTGTTGGCTGCTACCAGCCAATCTCAAACTATCCTTTTCCAATCATCACTTTCTATGGTAGGTTTAAATCGGATTCTTGCAGTTGGATACTATATCATTGAGGCCCATAGTGTGACATGTAGTGACAATCAGAAATCAGTTTGCAGATTAGGAGATAAGATTAGATTACCAGGACAGACAGACAATACCCTAAATCATTAAATGACTGTTGTACTATCTTAGACTTTAAGCTGGGTATGCATGGAGTGAATGTCAGCCAATTCTTGTTTAACAGACCGAAATTCGCTTTGTGGGTGATCACTATCAGCCGTTCCTGTCTGACATTCTTCAATTGAGAAAAAAAATAAATCAAAGGATTCAGGCAGAAAATAGCTGCAGCAGGTTGATTCCTCCATCCACTCTATTTGGCACTTATAGGGAAATATGTTGGATGTTTTCAACATATTAAAAAATAAAATGAAACAGTGAATACCTAGTTTTTGTGTTCAAAGACCATAGATCTACCAGGAACCTTCCATAACAGTAGACCCCTTCCTCAGGACTAAGCTGAAATGGGAGATGCTACTGATTATTATTGTTCACCACTAACTTTTATATTAGGTTATTTAATAGGCGACACAACTAATTCGTAAGGCGATTGTAGTCAATCACAGGAGCGAGCTTGGAGCGGAGGCTACTTTACACACACAGGGACCATGGGGAACAAAACCCTCCAGAAGGAAGGACAGTGTCAGCACCAATTCAGAGATGATTTGAGGATCTACAGCTGAGTGATACACAAATAAATTACATTTATATTGTTAAGGTACTTAAATGCATTTTTTAAAATGTAACTCCAGAATTTAATGTCACTCTAAAGCTGGCCATACACCTTACAATTATCTGCAGATTTAATATGGTCAGATGGAAAAGGTGCAACAGATTCCTCCATCTACACTTAACTGCGTGGATGGAGTAATCTCCACCTGGGCCAATCAGTAAATCTGCAGATAAATTGTAAGGTGTATGGGCACCTTAAGCAGCATTATTGCCTTGCAGTACAGGTGTTGTGGATTCCCACACAGGAGTTATACAGGTTTCCTGTAATTGCTGTGGTTTCCTCCCACAATTCAAAAACATACTGGTAGATTCAGAGCTTTCCACAAATATTTGTCCTGGGAGTACACCACAATATTACAGTGTTAAACACGCTGGACTTTTAGCGGTCACAATGGATTGAAGTGAATTGGGTCAATGCTTTTTCGTAAATTGCTGCAGATAAGGGTGTCAATGATATAAAAATACAAAATATCCTGAGTGATGTGTATTTTGTTTAAGCCGGTAATGTTTCCTCACTTTGTGTCTTAAGTCCATGCGATCCGGAAAGAACAGGGAGTACTTCCTCCTAAATACCCAACGTTGTTTGTCAAAACGGTTTCTTTCCTCACAGTGTGGAACGTCTGACTCTTGTTTTGCTTCTCAGCAGGTCACCGGTTTGTGTAAGGCTACATTAATGCAGATCCTTGTTTTTCCCCACCGGATCACACTGTTTATATATTTTCTTTGTCATGTCACCAATACGCTGTAATGTGATTTTCTATTTATAAAATCACACAGCGCATTGAGCACCGACTTCCAGCGTTACTTAACAACATTTACAGGAACCCAGCACATCAGAATATCATGTACAATGTTGTTTATAAAACAATCACTCTTTAGTAGACATCCATGTAAGCATTCAGTTCAGAGTGGTACAACATCCTCTAACAGCCTATAAACAGAACACATCTAGCCTTATATTTGTTTCTCCTGCTCCATTCCTGATGAATATCAAACAAGTGCACAACAATCTAATTTCTCAGGTTTGGCCAGGTCAGGTTGGTCCCCAAGCTGGATAAAGCTTTAGAAGTATCCCAGTTCCTCTAAAATCTTTTCGAATACCATTAGTCAGGAACACACAATTACAGAAACATGGCATGATCTGATCTAAAGTGATGATCTGAGTAGACCGTTCCTATATTACAGTGAACATGTCATGGTATATACATCACACAGCTGAAGAAACAACTGTTATGATGTGTATGGCAAAGTAAATGGAGAATGGTATTGATTCATGCTGTGTGAGGCTCCATGCACACATCGGTGGTTTTTCATGCGCTTTCATACGCGTGGAAATGGTCTAAACATAAAAACAATGCATTCCAATGTGCACTGTTCAGACTATAATGGCATCAGAGTGGTATGAAACCACGTGTTCCACAAAATAGTCCCAAGTATGATTTTTTTGAATGAATCCCATGCGTTTGCGGCTATAGTAAAAGCCGCAAGTGCATGGAACCCACTTGCATGCAAACAATTGCGCGTTTTCATGCCGCACGGTTTTCCACAAGGAAAAACACAAACGCCATATGTGAATGGAGCCAAAACTATGGCAGCTGAGAGGCAGAAGGATAAGGCAAAGCATTAGTGACTTCCTTACCGTTTCTCTCCCTCTTACCAAACGTTAAGTGCATCTGCTTTGCTAAACAAGACTCTGCTTGCACCCTGGAGAGAGGGGGGTCTCATAAAATGTTTTGCTAACTGCTAGGATAAGAGTAAGATTTCTGTATGATGAATTTGCAGGTTTTACTGAATTGCAAACATTTAAGCAGAGCATTAGCAAAGGCATGTGGTATCTGGTTATGTGCAGTTATATTTTTACTGTGAACTTCAGCAGTACCTGCACCCTTACAGTTATAAATTACAAAATCAGATTCCCATACACAAGTGAGGATTCTCTGGTAGGTGAAACCGTAATGCTGGTAATGGCTAGTTGGTCTGTATCACACAGTAGAATACTTTGTTTCCTGGTAAAGGCCTAGACATGTATGCAATGCTCTCCCGACCAATACACACAAAAAACAAAGACCTATATATTACTAGTTGTTCATTTTGCATATTTATGACAAAAGTTTCCCCATTCTCTGAGGTTCTGTACTTTTCGAAATGGTAACATACCTGCAAGCTTGCGATTGTCCAGTTTGAGTCTGTTGTGAGGATTGGTGCCATAGAGGAGGACGTGTGTCTCTGTATGTACTGACTGCAGCTCTTCCAGGGTTGCTTTCCTACCACGAATGCACTGCAAAATACACAGAGCAGCAAACTTACACAATGCAGGAGAATAAAGCACTCTAGGATAGGCCATGAGACCAAAATAGAACAGTCAGATATCTAGCTTTTATGTTTCACAGCATTACCAACTGATGTCGAAGCTAGAAGCGACCCATCCAAATAAAAGAGGCAGCGCTATTGGAGGATAAGGAACCAGGAGAAATAGACTTACGAGGCAGCAATGCTAACCACTAAACTGCAATACCCGTTATCTGTGTAACAGAATGAGAAATCAAGCCTATATGTTTTTAGAGTGACCAGTGCTGCTGGAAAAGTGTGCACAGCTCCAGATAGGTGTGAAGGAAAAGAGGCATATTTCCCAGTGCTCTAGAAACTCATCTTCTACCCATAGTAATGGTATAAAAAAGAAAATTGCCATTAGTGCAGCTTTCCATCTATACACACATACAGGGGGTTTTATTACAGCTATTAATGCGATAGAGTAAGGAAATCAGGCTGGTGGCTATGGAGGCTTCCAGATTTGATTAGCATAAATGTATTCATTACAAATCTTAGATTCTGAGAACCGCCTTTAAAAACAACCAACAGCCTATGCGCACATCCAATCTAGAGCTTTTATCATTCTGGTGGATGGGAACAACTCAGCTATTTGTATACTGTAAATGAAAAGCCTTTTAAAGAAAAACACGGGAAAGAATAATGAACAGTGCAAGTAAAATATCAACCTAGGTCTATCAGTATGTAGTTTCTTATCAGTATGTAGTTTCAAATTTAAAATCAATTGGAAAACTAGAATTATATACCCACCCCTCCAAAAGTAGAAGATGAACTTACTTCACAATGATTACGCAGTCCTCTTTCTTGCAAGCGGGACCAGATGCTTTGGATTCTCCCAGCATGCTCTGGATGGTTGCTGTTGTCTCCACAGGTACACTGGTGCTTCAACATCACAGAGTCATAAACAATTCCTATGGAGGGAAATAAACAGAAAGTGTACCAATATCTTCAACCTTTCAGCTGTTACACTAGTGATATCATTTATTAGAGGTATTTATATAGTGCCGTCAATTTACGCAGTGCTTTACATAAAATGTATTCACACCAATCCCTGCCCTCAAGAAGCTCATGCCAAGGTCGCAATCTCATATTCATACATGCTAGGGATAAATTAGACAGAGTAAATTAACCTGCCAGCAAACTGGAATACCCAGAGGAAACCCACAGAAGCACAAGGAGAACATGCAAACCTCATGCAGATATTGTCCTGGCTGAACCTGGATTTGCATGGAGGACCCAAGTGCTGACAGTCAGAAGTGGTAACCACTGAGCCACTGATTTTTAGCACACTGGGGGGAATTGATCAAGCCAGGTAACAAAGAAATAGAACAGGGAAGAGAAGCAAACTGAATAAGATTTACTATGAGTCACAAAATTAAATAAAAGCACTCTTCGCTTATAGCAACTTTTCACCTTCTGACATGTTTCACGCTGAAAAGCAATTTTGTAAAGGGGCTCAGACTCCTTGAAAAAACACTTTTATGGCCGGTTCACACCACAAACACTGCATTGCAGTGCGTTCGGCCTCTGGAACACAAGCCGGCCGGCTCCCTATTTGTGCAGAACGCACTGGACCAGAACACAGACACTAATGTGCCTGCGTGCGGGTGATCGCACTGCGTGCGGGGGGCGTGGCTGCGGTGACATTGACTTCAATGCACCGTCACCCCTGAATGCACTAGAACGCGGAGTTTGTAGTGTGAACCGGCCCTCAGCGTAAAACATGTTAGAAGTCACCTGTATTGCTGTTTTATAAAGAAGAAAAGTTGCTGCAGTTCTTAGTTCTGTGGTTCAAAGTCTTTTCTGAGTAATGTGCAATTATCAGAATCAGTACCAGGATGAGCCACTACGCTTTAGCATGAAGCTTCTTTTATAAATTCCCCCTCTACTGGCCATAGGTATTACATGCCCACCATGTGTACAGGCTTAAAATGAAAACAAAAATCACAAATGCAATCCTATATTTGTAGAAAATGTGTATAGAATGTCAGTCAGACATTCGAAATTAGACACAGGAACAGAAATGTGTTGGGGGAACATTTAAAGATCCACTAATAGTGATAGTAGTGCTGTATTAACACCTTACAAGTGTCCGATGCTATGCTTCCTCCTTGATAATATTTGCTAATGAATGCACTGTATGCAAAAATTATTTCCCTCTGCTAAACTCATTTAACAGAAAGCTTGTTTCCCATTTACCAGTTAGAGATAGCAGAAACAAGAACATATGGTTTTGCAGTTCAGAGTAACAGCTCAAAAATAAAAACACAACAGGAACTGTACCAAACGTCCAGACACTTGGTAAGTTGTAACAGAACAAACATGTGATAACCACAGAGTATCCAACCAAATATCTTTCCATTAAGCTCCAATCAGTGTACCTTTTGTGTGACCATCAATGGTTCTGCTTTTGTGACGCTAGTAGTGTGAAGTAGCTCATAGAAAGCAATCACATATTAGCTTTGAATAGCTTAGCGTGGTCAGAACAACAAAAGTTACATACTGTACTGCATTAGTACAGTACTGTATAGCGTTGCCGATGTACAGTACTGAACAGTGTACTGTACATCGGGCAATGAAAATACTCACGGGGACGCGCTGTGAAGAACGGAGGACGTCACTTCCCCCGGCGACACGTCGCACTGGCGCTGATGCGCGAGGTCGGAGGTCGCTCGGAGGACGGTCGTAAGTGCGAGTGGTCGCAAAACAGGTAAGTCGTTAAGCGAGGAGTATCTGTACAACCTACCATCCCTTTTGCACTGTTAGATAAGCCCCTGCTGGCATTAGGCTGCATTCACACGGGGCCTTCTGGGATTCCTGCAGCAAAAACCCATGGATGTGCCGTTCAGAAGCGGTCACTGTACCCATTGAAGGAAATGACTAGTGGACTGGCACCGACAGATGTGGCTGCTGTCACCTTGTCATTTACTTCAATGGATACAGTGCCAACATCTGAACGGGACACCGGGGATTCACTTTTTTCCACAGTTTGTATTGCTAGACCATGATCATTAAGATTTAAAGTCCAAATCTGGGCACAATAAGCTGTAGAGTGACTTAGCTGTAAAGTCACCTACCGTAATCAGAAAAGCCTTCTCCCAGCAAACCAGGTATACATGCGGGTGGAAGTTCAGCTCTCACTAGTCATTGATGCTCACGCTGGCTGCAGAGGTGCTGGTCTTAGCGCTGTGGCTGCATCCTTGTCTCCCTCTCCTTTTGGCCAAATGCAAGGCAAACAGTCCCAGGCTGCGGTTTGAGATTGGCCAGGAGAGGATGAGACAACAGCATTGAGGTCTATGAGACCTGCAGTGCTATAGATGGAGCAGACAAGAAAGTCCAGCAGGAGCTGGACTTCCATTCAGATGTATACCTGATAATTTTTGGGGAGAAGGCGGCAGTGCTGATTATGTCAGAAACGGCACTGTACACGACTGACTGTACTCCAGTAAGATTATCCTGCCCCCAGAATTGAGCTTTAACCCCTTCATGACTGAGCTAGTTTTCAGGTTCTGTTCATAAATGACTGACACATTTTTTACATTGTTGCTGTGTGATTCTTCCACGGCAGTAATATACTTTCTTACTAAATGTACCCACACATATTATATATAGTTTTTTAGAGGACAGATAGGGCTATATAATTATATCACATATTTGTACCTAACCCCTCACTTAGGTTTGAATAAAATTAAAAAAATGAGGAAAAAAAACTAGAAGAAAAAAACACTTTTTTCACAAGTTGTGATTATTATTTTTTTTTAGAATTTTTTTATATTATAGTATAAAAAATATATTTATATATAATTTATATTTTCCTAATTTTGTTTTACACTTTATTTTAATTTTTTTACACTTTGTAAAAAAAATAAAAATAAAATAAAAAAACTTTTTTTTTTCTTGTCAGTTTATATCAAGCAATCACTATGACAGCTTGATAAATTAACTTTTTTATTTTATTTTTGGCTATTAGGCTGATCCAAACTTAGGAACAGCTAATAATAACCTTAGAGACTGATCCTGACTTTAGTCAGATTCAGATCTCACTAAAAGCTCTTTGATCGTGCCTAGACGATCAGAAATGATACATTTCACTCAAAAGATATAAATTGTATCTTTTGAGTGAAATGTATCTAAACATCGGGCTCTCGAGCTGTCAAAACAAATAGCAGAGAGGTGAGGTGAGTCACTGCTGCCTCTCTGCTATTTTGAGCTGTCAAATACGGGATCGCAAATTGCGGTCCTCTATTTGCATGTAACGGCTTCATTCTTTCATTAATGAAAGGAAGAAGCTTTTACAAAAAGCTTAATTATTTCATTAATTAATGCCTCAATACTGAGACATTAATGAATGCCTGTTAAATGCTGAGAATCAGCAAATACCGGCATTACAAAGCCTGATATAACTCGTCACGTACAGTGTACGTGGCCAGTCATATAGGCACAAAGTGACAAGACGTACACTGTACGTCTCCCGTCACGAAGGGGTTAAACCTATACTGGAAAAAGATGGATACAGAAAATGTGAATTTAATAAGTTGCAGTGGGGAGATTTCCGGTCTGATACAGTTCTTCCTTCAGACACTTGGTAATATATGTCGACTAGTTGCTGTGTGATCTTTACCTGTGGTGAAGCGTATCTTCTCAGGCTGTTCCGGCAATGAGAGCGTCATCGTTTTGGAGGAAGAATCTTGACAAGGGATAGAAGCTGAAGCCGGAGAGGACTTTGCTCTTGTAAGAGGACGATGTGTTTGAGGCATAAGAGGGATCATTAAAGTGTCCAGTTGCTGAGGTCTTTTTAGGTGCTGTTGTGCACGAAGATGGCTCTGATCCCACATGTAAGCCTGACAGGAAAACAAAAGACTGTCATATACATTTAGATCAATAACTCATAACCTCCTGAAATGGAGGCAGATAAAGAAGATTTGCAGGTTACGGAGACATGTGGCTGATTTATAAACCGTTTGCTCCGCTCTTTGCTGTGTGAACTTGATTCACAACGCTGCACAACCTGCAAATAATTCACTGCAATTTAAAATAAAAAGCTTAAAAACTAGTAAGATTACTACTATCTCTGTTGTTGCTAAACACAAATCAATATTAAAAAGCGTCCCAGCAAATAAAAAAAAAGGTGAAGTGATGATTCCTTCACAAAGCTATCAGTACGTCTCTGATAACACTGTTCCATGTGAATTAACCCCTTCATGACTGAGGCCTTTTTTTTTTCCATTTTTTGCACCCATGTTATATTCCACATTTTTGGCCTGAAAGGTAAGTCGCCAGAATCGCTTCTGTTGTAAAGCCGACAGTCGGCTTTACAAGTTTAAACAGCGCCTTTTGCCGCCGGGAGTCTGTTTAAACAGCCCCGATGCTGGCGACGTACATTGTATGTCGTCAGTCATGAAGGGGTTAATAGTTTGCATTCTTATGTACTCTAGTCTCTAGTTCAGTACAGCCACAAAGGCAGGTGTATACAAATGGAGACAGGTACCTGTGGAATAAAATGCTGGATTACTGGTTGGCCACCACTGGGCACGTCTTGTATGCTTCGTATAGCTTCTGTTCGGACTCTAGCAGAGTTTAATCCCAGCTCACTAGTGCGCTCATATGTTGGACTGCTATCATCCATCTCCTCTGATGGGATCTGGCTTAATCTCGGCCTTTCACTGGTCTTCTGTGGGCGCTGCAGAAAGGAGACATTTGTAAAAGACTATTCAGGTTTAGTAAATGGTTATTAAAATACCTTCATAGCAACACAGTAAAGTATAATTAGTGTACAAGCTAGCCATTATGGTCCCCCTGATTTGGAACAGCTAAAAAACTGCTGTGCGTCATAGCAACCAGTAAGGTCCTAACTTCCTTTCTGCACTCAAAGAATCTAACTGGTTGTTATGGTTTTCTTCATTTTATTAAAGCAGGTCATCATGACTGTCCATATCATGCTGCTCTCAATGAAAGATAATGATAGCCAGAGATTGACTTTTTATTTTTAAAAGCTATTCAAGAAACAGGACAGCTAAGATCTACCCAAGCAGTTTTCATGGGAAGAAAAAAAGATTTATAAAAAGCGGTTCAGTCTGTCTATACCAGTAACTCCACATAGGAAGGGTGTTATTGGCTGGGACACAGGCTCTTTAATTTAGAATAGGAAATTCATTCAATGTACAAGGTGCATACAAGAACACAGAGGTACTGTATATACAGTGACAATGGCTTAGCACCTTGCCATGGGGTAACATTTGGTGAAATAAATGTATATTTTGCACATAGGTCTCCACACAGAGGACCTATAGCTTCAATGCAGTGCATTTGGGTTTTCTCTCTAAAAGTGTATTTGCTTTTTATCAGTAACAAAAAAAGGAGCCATCACCTATGTGTAAGACTATTCCCTGGAGTTCTTTTGCTCCACCTTGCTCTGTATAACCAATAGAATGGTTGAGTATTTTCTGAAATGTCCTTGTTTTATAGTGCATGGTATCCACCAAGGACTATAAAGGCATAGACCTCCCAAAAAGTTATAGCATGAACGGTTTCTTCATTGCTTGTGCCGGTTGCAATTTTAAAAAATCAACTTTATCAGACATTTTAGCATTACCTTTCAATAATCAAGCAATTTAGCAAACTTCAAGAGAATTATCACAATGAACACAACACTGATTCCATTCTACAGCAATAAAATTGAGTGCTACATAGTTAAAATATTGACCATTTCAATCTCACAAACTTATGAATGAGATTCTTACACTTGTAGCTGGGGCTGTGCATTTGCTGTGACCATTATAAGGGGGGTCCCGGTCACCCTGCTGGGTTGTTCATTTATTATGGAAAATGCAACAGGATGAGCTGGAATTAAATTTTAGAAGGATGTCACCACTTCAACCCTGCAGCAAATCCTCAGTCACTGGAATATGGCCACCGAATAAGAGCGCCACTACACTTTGGGTGAAGTCTAAGAGAAGAGCAAACAGCCTCGTTTCAATGATGATCTTTTTTTCAAGCATCATTAAATCGTAGTGTAGATAAAAGACCCTTTATCTACACCTAGGACTGCTGCTAGCTACCATGTTAAAAATTCTAAACAGACATGGTCACAGAGGACAGGCTATGCAATCAAGCCTGTGTACAGGCGTGAAATGTCTTAGTGGTGGGCACGCCTAGACGGGTCTTAAGTGTGCCCTTTCTGGTTCAACAAAGCTTAAATAAAAGATCTGACATCATTGGAGTGCAGCAGTTTACTTTACTCAAGGACCAGCTAGAACACTTAAATAGAAATAGGAACACCGAAAACAAGGACTGAGATGATTATTAGGACAGGAAGATTGTGCTGCTGGAGTATTAAAGACATACAAGAAGCCAGGGACTTACTCAGCCAACCATGCTCCATTTACCATTAAAATATTACTAGTGAGTGGACTGACACTTTAAAATACATTCAAACCTAGTGCTGTACAATTTTTGAGCAGCAGAGAGGGGCATTTATGACTTTAGCTGAAATCTCTTTGGTGACAACTGTATAAGAGAAATTCTTATTTAAACTTTAACAATTGCACAATGATATATAGACATATTATCTACTGTGGCAGCAATGTGAAAAGCAGGCCCAATGGCAAAATGCAGATTAGCTACTATGATTTCCTATGCTTACTTTATTTGTCCGTCTCAAATAATCAGGAAGTGCTGCATATTGCTGCTGGAGGAGCAGTTGCTGCTGGAGTGTTTTGGAATTTTGAGGAAGAGGCTCAGAACGGGTCCGGCTTAAGGCTTTGTGGTGCCCAGTAGCTGACAAATGGTCGGGGCTGATAATGGGATGGGTGAATTGCAGTGGCACAGAACTCAGGCCTTGAAAAGAAAGGAGAAAAAGAAAATACATTATGCTTTTTCATCAATGTTATTGCTTGTCATCTAGAAATGTGATATTCATTTTACACCACAAGGTGGCAGTGAAGAGCTTTTACAACAAGAAAATCCCCAAGTAAAATACTTCAGTGTGCATGATCTAGAAAATGAATACGATGTTTTTTCCACCATGTTCCATAGAAGTCCTAATAATGCTTCACCTCTACATTGGAGAGTTCTCTTTAGTACACTTAGACAGTGCAGAAATAATTTGTTGTTTCAGTGCCAACAGAAGGTAGTTAAAACGGATCATAAATCAGTGTTCATTAAATACATTGCCACAAGGACACATTACACCATGTACTGTACAGAATAAGGGGTGTACCGTCTAAAGGCAGCACCACACACTACAGCTGGCCATACATTAAAGCGAATTTTGCACAGTGGGTGCCACTGTCAGCATCTTTTTGAACGGCATCTCTCAATCAGCTGACCGAAGGAGCAGGTAGGAAAATCTTTGAATGAACAGAGCCAGTAGCCATTGGGCTGCCGGCTTTGCTTGTGTATTTTGACAGCGGCCGGAAGGTGCAGTCAGAATTAAAAAAATAAATAAACAACCCACAACAGCAGGGATTCCTCAATCAACTCACAAAAGCATTGATGGAGGAATCTGTTCTATTTTTATTTTTTTTTCATTCAGCCCCAGGGTTGAATAAAAAAAAATATAGAACTGTGTATGGCCAACTTTAGGACCATTGTGCGTTATGGACATTCAAGCTATACATGGGGTTTATTCAATAGGGCAGTAAAGACAGTCGTAACCTATAACAACTACTGATATTAGCGAAGGAAAATGTTGCTGGGAAGTTACTGTACTTGGCATATGGTCATGACACTCTGCCTCTATTAAGACAAGAGCAAACAGATGAATACAAATATAAAATGACAAAGGCTTGTTTTACCTCTGCCAAGTGATTTGTATTTGTTTTGCTATGCAGCACAAGTCTGTTTGGTAGGCGAGAAGGCCTGATTTTTCTCCGCTGCCATTCAGTAACACATGCAATGGCCAAAGAGTCCTACTCTTCAAAAAAAGTGGTCTGACTGTAGTCACTGTTTGGCTGAGACTCTTCAATCAGCTGCACTATTCCAATAGCTGTACACCTGCCGCTGTTGAAATACAAAAGCCCAGCAGGGGATCCCCCATCCCCCCGTTTAATGTAGATGGGGGGAACAGAGTGTTCTTGTATGGACAGCCTTTGAGGGTTTTCCCCCTGGTCCCACCATGTAACTGAACAGTGAAAGGAGAAGCAGCAGATTGATGAGCCCATTCCTCTGTTGCTGCGTTCTATAATGCCATCAGCATGCCTTGCACGAGCTGACTGGCTACATTTAAATACATGTATGAATGAACACAAAGCTGCATTCACTTGGGTCTTTATCTGCATGGATTTCAGATTTATTTTATTTTGATAGTCTCCTGGGAGGATTTCACATCTACCGACACACTTGGAGCACTCGCAGTAAATTCTGATCAGGCCTCTGTTGAGTGCTGTGAACTCAAGCTATCGGAAATGAACTAATGGCTTACAAAGTACAACACTCCAATTAAATACTGTCACAGCTATAGCACACCACTAATAGCAGAGTACCTGCAATTAAAACTGGTGGGTTTGCTATTTTGCATAATAAGCACATTGGAAAAAAACAACCCTATGAGGTCTTCAAGTTTGTGAGACTAAACAAAATAATAGCTAGCATGTGTGAGACGCGTCAGCAACCAACATCTACTTGCAATCATTTTCTGCAAGTTAGGCTGTGAAAGCAAACACTTAAAGTGTGCCCTTAATCTAGCAGTAAGACTGGGTTCACATCTAGGTGATGGCGTTTTTTGCACTTTGTATGCACAATTCAGATCACGCATTTTTGTGAGCAGATTGTAGCTCATTGATATTAATGAGCAAATGCGTGTACAAACGTGCAAAATCACAGCAATCACGTGAAGTGATGTAATACACATCACTTCTGCATTCACAGCCCGGACGGAGATGTGCTGGGAGTTTAGGTTGTGGGAGCAGGCTATTTGGTACAACCATTACAGAAGTCCAGATAGGAAGCTGGAGTGAATCCCATTTATAGACTTCCTACTTGACCTTATAAACCGCCCCTTGACGCTGTTTTCTTGCTATAATTTGATGCCTCTTTTTATAACTTACGCAACCTAAAGTCCAAATGTTGCAGCAGTAACCAAGATATTAAGAGATCAACTGTATAGGAGGCAGGGTTTATCGGTGGAGGAGGTGAAACCTCACATCGCCTTCCTAAAAGAACACTGAATAATCCAGATGATGGGGTTGCCAGTATTTGTCAGGTTTCCTAATCCTCTGCTACTACATTCACTACTGTGGCCAAAGTGTAAGTGGTCCCTAGAACAGTGAGGGCTGCCGAGCCAAACTTCAGCACACAAAGAACACAATCTGCTGTGAATTTCAAATACAATATTGTTATCAAACTTCACCGCTGTGTGATCTGAAGTAAAAACTAGAGGAATGCTGCATTTATAGCTATTCCATACTGCATAACCAATTCTGGCATGCAAAATTATTGCCTGAAGAAATTATTTTTTTATAGTCTAAAGAAAGTAACTAGCCTTGTATTCAAGAGATTAAAGCAAATCTTACCCTTTATGGACTGGTCAAGGCTGTGACAGTGGAGCTAAAGCCCCATGACATGACCTGTGGCTAGAAAAACATCTATAAATTTATGCCATTTGTAACCCTTAACCAATGGATCTCCCATCTCCTAGTTACATGGCCTCTATTCCAAACAGAAGGGGCAAGCTGATCAGTCTATGAAAGAGGTCGGTAAAGGACTGAAGAGTCAAGCATTTTTACAAATCAGGAGCGCTGGCTTGTCTTTGGAAAAAGCTATAGACAGTCTCACTGATGCACAGCAAAGCGGAAGGCAACTGCAAAAGGTTTAAACAGTGTACATGTAGAGGATTTCTCTAACCGATTATGGGTTTGTGCAGTGTTACAGATTCACTATATTTTAGAATGCCATGTATAGATCTATGGTTTGATACACACACACTTCAATATTTCTGCCAGGTGGCAGTCTGGCTGAGCATCGTGGGAGCTACAGGTAAACAACAGCAGGAACATCTTCATAAAAAGGCTCATCTGTATGTAAATGACAACCATTGACTTTTAGCCTAAACAACATACCTGTAACCATCTGTCCATGTGTAGGCTCTAGAATGATGACAGGTTGGAGACGAGTTGCCAGGGAATTCGTACCATCATGGTTTTCTATACCTGGCATGTACACAGTAGAATGTGACAGAAGTGGCACTCGATGTATCAGACTTGGCAAGGGCCTCCGTTCCATTTCAGCCTGAATTGGGAACAGAATAGTGGGTATTATAAATGCACAACACTTACCACTTCAGAAATGCTTAAAGGAGAACTATGAGATGAGTGATTTCCACTCACCTCATAGTTCTAAGCCGACCTGTGACAATGAGACTGTCACAGGTCGGCTCAGTAGATCGGGAGGTGAGGGAACACATACCGGGTTCCCTCACCTCTCGATCCTGTCACGGCTCTCTGCCGTGACAGGGGGAGGGGCTGGATTCCCCTCTCCCCGCTCTGCCAGCGCTGACTGGCGGAACGGACGGGGGAGGGGGCGGGTACAGCTGGCTCTGCCTCTAGATAGGCAGAGCCAGCTGTCACTCACGCAGCTGGGCGGATCCAGTCATCTACGTCGGGATCCGCTCCAGGTGCGGCGTCTCAGTATACAGCGAGCTGTAGCTCGCGGTATACTGAGCTTAGGGTAACGGGAGGACGCTAGTTTGTGTCCTCCTGTTACCCTGAGAACTATGGGGAAAAACACTGACCCCATAGTTCTCCTTTAAGACTACACTGGTAAGTCAATCATTTATTTTTATAGATATGAAAGGAAAGAATCTGTTTACAGAAAAGTGTTAATGTTTAGTGGGTACCACTAGTCTATAATCTACTTCACTGAACTGCCTAACCAGCATTGGGGGCTAGTGCAGTGGATCTATGTATAGCTGCTGTGTGCAGCATCCACAGCGGCGAACAACATACTCCAGAGGAAATGTCAGGAAGGCTCCTAGAGAATAACAGCCATCCTGATACACAACCTTCCACCCCATGTTCCTCTCCAGTGAACCACCAACACCACTGATTCTATACATAGTATCCATAGAGGTCAATGATGTGTCAATCTCATATTGGCCAGGAAGTGTAGCATCCTGGAACTCCTGCTTAGAGATACCTATTTATATTTATCCTTTGCCTAGACATCATGTGCCTGCCTCTGAGCATCAGTACATTTAACCTTTACATAGATGATACCCCAAAGCTATATAATTTATGAAAACAAAATTTACCAACTACTTAAACGCTGTGATCCGATCATCCTTAAAACAAATTAAACTATTCATTAAGGCAAAGCAATGTGCAATAATGATGTGCAAGGTGGAGTAAACCAGCACAACCAATCCTAATTCAGCTGACTGTAGTCAGATCAGTGTAATATGTATCCCGATTACTTGCCACTGGTTACAGTACTTTATGCATCACCTTATTAAAAAAATAGATTATTCTGAGATTTGGCATTATATAAATGCAGGAGCTGCACATTTAAAGGTTAGCAATTTAAAGCTAAACTCCAGGCACAAAAACTTTTATTTAAATGTATTCTCTCAATAGCCAAAGGGAACATAAATCTGTTTTTTTTGTGCACTAAATGCCTTTGCAAGCCCAGATATTAATGCATAAAAAGTAGCAGTGACATCATTACTGATGCCCAGCAGGCCCTACCCACTACAGACTGACATTAGAAAACTACAGGAGGGGGTGGATACAAGATCAGTCACAAGGAGTAGTAGCAGCAGTGGTCTTCCCTGCAGACGGTTTTTGCACAGAGGCAAAGTTTTACACTGGATCACTGCACAGATCTGGAAGAAATACACAAAGCACTCCAAAAACACACACGTCTTTTGTATTTAGACAATATCCGTTTCTCCTGGAGTTCAGCTTTAACTTTATTTAAACCTGCCGAAATCTGTACTGAAAATACAACCGGTGCTATAACCAGCAGGAAATTTAAATAGCAATAAAGACTATAGTAATACATATGAACTCATTCAGTAGCACAACAGACAGATGTCCTTGACATGCTTACAGACCATGAAGATGGAGGTAAGTGCTTACCAGCAAAACAGGTACAGAGGTCAGTGTTAGATGGGTACACAAGCACGTATGCCACTCGCTACATCCCTGAACCAAATCCAACCCATGCCCTCCTATATTCTCAAGGTGTCTGGATTGCATGAAGCAGTTGTTGACCAGGCCTTTACGTTTAATGGTTGTATCCATATAGGTATTTAACATTGATTGATCACAATGTTCCCTAATCCCTAATGTTTCTTCTCAATTGTGCCCTTACCTCTGAAGCTCCAGAAAGGGAGGACAGACTTCCATTTTCAGCAGCCAGGCTGTCATTTGGTGAGCTGCAGCCGGACACTGGAGTGCTGCTACTGCTGGGGGAAGAGTCTGTAAAGAAACAGAACAGACTCATGGCATCTGCACGATAACACCTTTCTGATAGCATTCATACTATCAGCATTCATACTATCATGTATTCACAGAACTGAAGAGATTTTACTGCTGTTCCCCCAATACTCCATAATAATATATTTGCCATTAGCAAATGTTACAACATCTCTCTCTATTAAAGAAAAGGGACTTGATATAATCTGCATGCCAAATGTGTCATACAGAATCTGCATGTATATAGAATCATTTCTCCCAGCACTTTCCCTTGACAGGGCAAAAGATTGCGCCTTTAGAATGAAACATTGACCTATGACCAGTCTGAACACAACAATGCCCAACAGGATTGGCAAATAAAAGCCATTGAAAAAAAAAAAATATATATATATATCAGTAAATGCACCTAACAATTCTACCTACTTCTCTTATGGCTGGAGAGCCAATTTGTAGCCAGTACCAGAAACCAATGAAGGTGTCCAGTCCCACCCTCTCCATAGTATCATGTGGATGGATGGCACAGGTTATACACGACTAAGTACTATTACACCAGTTTTGGTTTTTTTTTTCCTGATTCGGACCTGCTGTCACTGACATGCGAATAAGGGGCAATGTAACACATAACCTTCTCCATATGTTTTCCGACAGTTTCTGGTTTGGGGACACCACTGAAAGCATGTTTTTCTCATAGAAATGGTTGTGCACCATCAAAGTTATGGAGTGGCTATAGTGTGTTACCGTTTAAAAATAAATGGCAGAGTTTTTTTTAAGACTAGTAGGCTTTTCCTATTGGACCACAAACTATAAAGCACTGCATATACGTCTATTCATCAGAGTGTACCCAGTGTTAAATTTCCAGTGTTAGAATGTTTCTCTAAAAAGAAGCATTGTTAGAGCAGAATAACTATTGAGTGTAAGACAGGCTTAGCTCATATGAGCCCAGTGCCCTTTGTACCAATAATGCTTGTGATCACAGCAATTAAAAGCTAAAGTCTGGACATGTTACCACCTCCGAAGTGCCATTCACCCACCCTGTGTTTCTGGGGGTCTTCTTCTAACTGCAGGTGGAGCGCTTTCCTTGCGTGTAAGTGGGTTCTTCCTCCTCTCCCCCGACTTCTTGGGTCTGCAAGGCCACTTCAAGTTTGGCTCAGAGGCTGCAGGGAAATTAAGTGCACAATTCTAAATGTTAAGAGCTCAAAAGCAACTGCGCCAAGTTCTGGCTGGGTTGTTACAGAGAACCAGAACTGAACGCTGAAGTGATTTCCTGATGTATTAGAACAAAATCTTGATTATGTATTGCAGTGATCCAATGCAACATGCTAGATTGTTCCCAAGCAAGTCTGAAATCAGGAAAAAGGCTTAAAAGGAAAACTATGAAGGGATTTTTTAAAACTATATAACTTTTTTCACCGTCACTGTTTTACATATAAACATTAAAATATGACAAAGGCGCCCCAGATCACTAAAGAGACAGCACAGCAGCTTGTTTAGCTTTGTCCAATAGAAACCTGGACTCTGCCAGCTATTAAGAAATAAGGCACTGCTATGATGACTCTGAGTTTAGTAATCAATGGACTTTTTTCATTTAAAGGCCCAGAGGTGTACCACAAGTTATCTTGTAAAGGACCTTGCACTGCAAATATCTTGACATGTCTCACCCTTTCACATTTCTTATTTTTAGCACACGTTTCATTAAAAGAATGTTAATGGTGAACTATTATTTATGTGTAAAAAGAGATAATTTGCTCAACTTCTAAGAAGTTGCTGAGGCATTTAAAGCTGAACTCCAGACATTAAAAAAAATGTTTAAATAGATTCCTTACAGCCGCTAAGGATAAAATTTAGTTTGTGTGCTCCAACTGCCTTTGCAAGCTCAGATAGTGCCTTCTAAATGTAGTAATGAAACCATCAATGTTCTGTACATAGCCTGTGCAGAGCTGTGAGAGGGACCCAGCAAACCCCACGCACTAGAGCCTGCCTGCAGAAAACTACAGGAAGGTGGATACAAGACCAGTCACCCTGCACAAGGAGAAAGCGCAGCAGTGACGTGCCTTCATCACATGAAGCTCCTGCACAGTGGCAAAGCTCCATGCAAAGTAAAAATACACATTCCTCTTGTATGTAGACAAAACTTTGGTTATTCTGGAGTTCAGCTTTAAAGAATAACGACTGGAAAATACATGACAGTTTTGAGTTTGCAGGAATTATTTTTCAGTCCTGCCCATGTGAGTTCCTAAAATCTGTCTGAACAGTTATTTGCCATAGAAATGACAGCACTGTTAGGTGACTGGTAGACAGCCTTTTTATTTATGTGTTGGATGCACATTTACATCTATATACACAGACTTCAGATTAAATCCAATGCAGAAAAATCACTTGCATTTGGGATTAGCCCCAAATCAAATTTGAAGACAGTCCTAAATGAGTTTGGGACTTGCATTTATGAATGCTGACTTATAAAAGTCAAAGTAACATGGCAAAAGCAGCATGTATAACCTGCCTTATATGAGCCAAACGTCTAACACTGCAGTCCAGCCCACACCAGTGAAAAATGCTTTACAAAAGAAAATGTGCTCTCAGTCATCAGCAGAAGGGAATGTCTTTACCTGTTCTTCTGAGGGGGAAATGCTCAGAAGGGTTACAGTTGCTGGCAGCATCCTGAGGAATGAAATTAGTGGGAAGTGGAGGGTGAGGTTCTGGTTCACTCAACTCAGGAGGCCTGAAAAGAAAAGAAAAAAAAACACAATTTTCCTTATTAATGTCCTTCTACTTTACACTTAGATTATATCAATTGCCATATACTTCTATCTTGTTGTGATCTCTCAACACTTAAATGTGTATAGCTTTGTAATTATAGATGGACCACCACTACAGCAGAACATTTTAATAGCAAGGTAAAAGAAATGGTAAAAAACAACATGTTTGGCAACAGAAAAAAAAAAAGAAGATTTTGTCAAAAAGGCACTTGGAATTTAATTATGATCAGCTCATGAAGCCGCTACAGTAACAAATACATGGATGGGTGGAAGAGGATGTCAGATACAGTTACCTGTAAGGCATGGCTTGGCCACTGTGATTGGCGACATTAATGCGTTCTGGCGCTACTTGCTGTTTGTTCCGAATCATCTGTAACAGCTTCTCTTTCACTGCTGGGCTGGCCATGCCGCCTAAGACCACATTATAAAAAAAACAGGAAAGAAAAATGGATCAGAGTGTGCACCTATATATGCATATTGTCTATGCTGCTAATGCGGTGTACGATTAGATTCCATATATAAACTGATGGTTCATACTAAAATTTAGTTCGTGCTAAACTAAAGTTGGCCATACACTGGTAAAAAAAAACCCTCTCATCAGAACATTCTATATTACCATCAGAGACTTGACAAATGTCAATGTGAGATTTTGTTTGGTTTTAACATCCCATGTTGTAATGAATGGAGTATTTCGATTTTGGAATGAATGGAGATTTTCCATCCTGCTCCTTTCATTTTTTTTTTGTCACGATGGCTGAAATCAATTGCTGACCTCATTAATCACAGTTTTATCGGAGTTATTTATTTATTGCATCACATATCTAACCAATATCTAACCAACAGGGTGTATATTAAACTGTTAGTGTACGAGCATTAGTTAAAAGAAAATAAATAAATAATATAAATAGATAGAAAAGTAGTACTAATACATTGCTAAAGGGGGCTGCAGTAGCACTCAAAGTGTTAAAGACTAACCCAATGGATGGAGGACCAGAGCTATGAGACACGGTTACTAAATTTAAATATGTTCACGCTGGAACTAAGGAGATTAAGGGGGGACATGATTTTCATGTACAAAATGTTCCATAGTCATAGCAACATTAGCAACAAACTCTTTACGATTAATTCCGTAACAAAGACTAGAGGCCACCACCTGAAACTGGTAGAAAAAAAATTCAAACACAAGGGGCGGAGGGGGTTCTTCTCAGTTCGCGCGGTTAGGGTCTGGAACTCGTTGCCACAAGCAGTGATTTCAGCTAATAGTGTGGAATCGTTCAAGAAGCTTTTGGACGATTTCCTGAGAAACGGTAATATACAGGGGTACAAGTACTCCTAAAAACGAGATGACTCGGGGATCTTTACACACACAATAGGTTGGACTTGATGGACATGTATCAACCTCAGATACTATGTAACTATGTATTAACTATTAGAAATTTGAATGAATACTCTGAAACTAAATATGGCCAACTTAAAACAAAAGAAGTTTATGACCGTAAAGGACAAGAGCTTCCACGCGTTAAAAGCTGCTAAACATTTCCACTTTGAGCAGAGTTTTAGTTAGGTCTGTCTTGGACCCGTCACAGTATATAAGGAGGATTTTACATGGGCAGGGTTAGCACAGGTCCCACACAGGTCTTCACAACCCCACAAATAGCTTAGCTAATATAATTAAAAAGGAAAAAATAAAACTGCATTGCAGCACAAAATAAGTGTACTCAATTCTGAAATCCCTGTTTGTCTATTTCTGTGAGATGAGGGGAGGTACTCTTCCAAAAAGTTTATTTTAAGCAATAAAGACTTGTGCATTACTAATGCATGCATAGTTCTGAGCTGCCTAAAGAGTGCATTTCATGGGCATGCTTATGGCTTTATTTAATAGGGCTACAGCATTCCTTCTGTGCTGCCACAGATTGATAGCTTGGTAAGCAGCCAGAAATCGATGGCCCAATGCTTAGCCTATAACCCTAAGTGATAAGAACTATTGTATCTGTCCCAAACTCTTTGCACTATAAATAGTAGAGAGCACAAACTATAAACCGTTTCAAAACAGTAGGTGGCACACTTGCTTTGAAAGTTTCAAAAAAAAAAAAAAAAAGCCTAGTCATATCATCCTTTCTCGTATAAATTAGGATTTGGTGGCAGTAAAAAAGCACCAAGCTAAATAGATCAAACTAACTTTGTCTTCGTTTTTATTTGTTTTAAAGGGCTCCATAACTTATAAGATGCCTTATACATATATAAAAGACTAGTAGCAATATTTACAAATATGTATACACAAGACTCTCTTTAAAGAATGTTTGAAATTTCAATTGTCATATTTGCAAGACAGCAAGGGCTTTATTTATAAAAAAAAATACATAGCTATTTGTGCAGTGAAACTGCATGTACATTCGTTCTGTGTGAATTAACCAGCACTCGCTTATTAGTTTAAGGGCCTGTTCATACCAACACAAAGGCAAGGCAATTTGCATGGCTTTCTATCAGAGCAGTTCAATGTGCACTTAGGAAAAAAAGTAAGGAATAAAGTCATTTTTTTCAGCACACTATGGTGTGAAAAAGAAACTGAATGCCACTTTGTGACATTTCAATGAAGTTCTAACAAAAAAGAAAAAAAAGTTACAATGCCATTCACTTTGTTTCCAGGGGGTATTGGTACTGCAGCCTTTACAGAGCACACCAGTGCTGGTGTGAATAGGCTTTATCGTACAATGTACATTATATTGCCAAACGTATTGGGATGCCTGCCTTTACACGCACATGAACTTTCATGGAATCCCAGGATTAGTCTGTAGGGTTCTTTGAGTTGGCTCACCCTTTGCCGCTATAACAGCTTCAACTCTTCTGGGAAGGCGTCCACAAGGTTTAGGAGTGTGTCTATGGGAAAGTTTGACCATTCTTCTAGAAGCGCATTTGTGAGGTCAGGTACTGATGTTGGACGAGAAGGCTTGGCTCGTAGTCTCCGTTCTAATTCATCCCAAAGGTGTTCTATCGGATTGCCAGACAGAAGTGCGATTCATCACTCCAAAGAACATGTCTCTACTTCTCTAGAGTCCAGTGGCGGCGTGCTTTACGTCACTGCATCCGACGCTTTGCATTGCACTTGGTGATGTAAGGCTTGGATGCAGCTGCTCGGCCACAGAAACCCATTCCATGAAGTTATCTACCCGCTGTTGTTGGGCCAATCTGAAGGCCACACAAAGTTTGGAGGTCTGTAGTTATTGACTCTGCAGACAGTTGGTGACTTCTGCGCACTTCAGTCATTTTACGTGGCCTTTCACTTCGTGGTTGAGTTGCTGCTGTTCCCAGTTGCTTCCACTTTGTTGTAATACCACTAACAGTTGACCGTGAAATATTTATTAGCAAGGAAATGTCATGGATGGACTTATTGCACAGGTGGCAACCTATCACGGTACCAAGCTTGAATTCACCGACCTCCTGAGAGAGGTCGGTGTAGAAGCAGTCTGCATGCCTAGGTGCATGATTTTATGCTTCAGGGGTGTCCCAATACTTTTGGCAATATGATGTATACAAGCAGTGGCTGTTGTGGCAAAGTTGAATGTTCTTAAGGTTTTTTTTGTCTTAAGATCGAATATTCTTGGAATATGCTGTAGCCAGTGCTGCTTTATACAACATGTATAATAGTTAAAACATTTTAATTACATTGATCTGAAATATCAGCGCAAGCAGGATTTTCTAAATTAATGTTATGTTGACATTGCATTTTGAATATCAGAAAACAACATTTTGCACATATGAAAAAACATTTGCAAAAGGTATGTGTCGCTTTTGCACAAATGCCGATCCATTCGCACAGCAATTTTTTTTAAGAGACTCCTAATTGTCTGATTTCCAGCATTAACCATTTTAGACTGGTTAGAGGCATGTGGTTATAATGGAGATATCCTTACTGGTCACATAATGCTAACAGAAAAAGTATGTGGTCTATGAGCCAGAATGCTTGGGACCAAGGGTACATCTAAAAAGCAGACTCATGCCTACCCTAGATAATCCATACAAGTGTATGACCTCTGTTTATAGAAAAGCACTTGCAGGTTATTTTATCTTTACATATTTTGAATATATGGGATCCACACACATGTACTGCAAAAAAAACAAAAACAAAAAAAAACAACAAGACTTCCAGTGCGGCAAGGATTATTTTTGAAAGTCAAGAAAATATATCAGATTTGGACTTTCATCAGAAACAATGATGCATGACTGCTGTGGATGTTGAAGCATTCCAATAGAGTCTTACTAAACCACATTTGTTTTAAAGCAAAAGCATTTGATTGTATGATAAATTAAATTTTAAAATAAAAACAACAAAAAAAGGGATAAAAAGGTTCCATACTTCCTTTGTTTTTATCCTTGTTGACCAGATGTCTCAGGCTTTGCTCCTGCCGCCCATGGTCTGCATTCCGACAGTCCACCTGGAATATGGAGAGTGAGGATCAGGGAAGGAAGGTCCTCATTACCTATAATCTACTTGTATACCCATGAGCAGCTTGGCATTGAAAGTGTAGCTGTGTCACTGAGCAGGTCTCTCTGTATAAGTGACATGTACTTTAAAATGCTGCTTGGAAAATGTAGTACGTAAAAAGGGGAATTTATGTCTACACCTTTCATTAGCCAAGCTAACTCCTACACTAATAAAACAATGCATGTTGCCATGGGGCAGTAACAGTGTCAGTGCTGTACAACCAAAAGGACTTTGAAAATATACAAGGAAATAAAGAGAAAAATACCCTGATTTTGTGCTCTATATGGTGCTGCGGAGTGATGGCAGAGAAGAATGCCTGCTGGGCCTGCTTTAAGTTCAGCAGCGCAGTGTCCGACTGCTGGTTGGGACGCTGGATTAGATGAAAATCCATAGGGGTGGCTTGCGTCAGCACTGTGCTTGATGGAACTGTCAAGTCAACTGCAAAACAAAACATATGTGTCAAATACATGTCCAGCAAAAAGAAGGCATTCAGCTAATGTAGATAGTAAAGCAACACTGCACCTTTCTGAAAACAGTCTCATAAGGCCCGATTCCCGCCTGGGTGTTTTACAGCGCGTTCCTACACTCTGTAAAACGCTCAAACACCGAAATCCCATTTCCTATGGGCATGGTTCCCACCTGGGCGTATTACAGCGCGTATGAATGCGCTTTAAAACACCCTACGCCAGAAAAAGTACAGGAGCTTCTTTGGGGCGTATTTCAGCGCCTTCGCGGCCATAGACTTCAACGTGAACGGGCTGAAATGGGTGTTTTGCGCGCTTTCGTCATCAAAAGCGCGCCTATAACGCGCGTTCCGCACATGGAAACAGACTAAGGCAAGTAAAATAATGGACTACACAAATCATATTAACTACATGTTATGTCTCTGGAAGTATCCATTGTTCTCAGTGGGAAAAGAAAACATTCTGCTTGTCACAATAAGCGACTGTTGAAAAAAGAAGCTGTTTTAAACTCCAAGTCCGCCATAAGCAGTCACTGGAAAAACAGAAACTGCTTATGGCAGACTGAGTCTGCAACAAAAATACAACAAGATGGCTACACATTACAATGCGACTGTAAAATATCCTTTAGATCTCCGAACATAGTACAAGGATCTCCCTGACTAATGTGTAATATATTGTATAGGCAAGTCCTCTTATTTATTTAAGTTATGAAAAATATGTAATGTACAAATCAGATTTTGGACAGAATTCACATTTTTACATTACACGGTTGTGCAGCATGCTCGTCTTAGCATGTTGCAATTATTCTGAATGACACCAAGGCAATGGACCAGCTCTACTCAATGCAAAATAACAGACCTGTGTGTTGTGGTAAGCTGCATCTAGAAAAAGTCGAGTCCAGTTTTCGGTGTGCTGAGGTGCGTTTGCAGCCCATTCAAAATGAACAGGCTGACTTAACGCAATAGGCATTAACATTTGTGCGCTAATGTGCCATAAAGGTGTGAAGGAGCCCCTTGTATGTATGGCCAGCTATAATGCTCTATGTTGTGCCACTCTGCTCCCAGGGACACCTATGTGCACATGTCCTACCAATGGCCTGTATTCCAGAAAGCAAAACATACGCTGTTACACTAGAAATTTATCAGCAACATGCAGAGCTGGGTCTACCGTCAAATCATCCGAGTTGGTGCCGACACTGTCCTTCCTTCTGGAGGGTGGCTACTTTTGTTCCCCATGGTCCCTGTGTGTTGTAAAGTAGTCACCGCTCCAAACTCACTTCCGTGATGGACTACAATCTCAATACAAATTAGTAAACTAAACATGAGATTGTAGTCCCATCACAGGAGTGAGCTTGCAGCGGTGGTTACTTTACGAACACACGAACCATGGGGAACAAAAGTAGCCCCCCTCCAGAAGGAAGGACAGAGTCAGCACCAATTCAGAGATGATTTGAGGATCTATAGCCGAGTGATGTACAAATAAGCTACATTATTGTTTATAGTCAAGATACTTGAATGCATTTTTTATATTTAACTCCCGAGTTTAGTATCACTTTAATAGAGGTGAGCCTATAAAGAGGGGCGTTGGTTTGAGTACCTAAAGTTGTATGCCTACAGGATGACAGTATGAAATAGACAGGAATGTCCAAGAGGAGATTATGACGAAGAGATCATGATAACTGGAGTCCATTCAATCCTGTACTTGGATGGGATATTTTATCTACAAGGCCTGATAGCTCAAAGCCCAGATGCATGTGAATAATATTCATACAACAGCTTGGAACTCTTACACACGCATCCATACATGTCACCAGTGCGGCTACAAGTAGTACTAATTGTCCACTAGGAAATGGTTCAGCTGGAGTTCACATCTTACTGGCAGTTCATTCACCATTCACACACAGAGAAGGAATGGAGATATGTTTATCTAAAAGTTAGGAACTTTCCAGGTCTAAGGTCACCCCAGTGCTGTTCTTTTCTAGTGAAATTTGAGGTACAGACAAGGGAATTTGCATACTGCACCAAGTTCTCGAGTATGAATTGGTGGGACTTTCCTCTTTGAAAGACACTGAATATCCAGTAACTGCTCAAGTCTGTTTACCTCTCAAATGACAATAACTAGTTACCCAAAACATCAAGTCAGTAAGTTGTGTAGACTGTTCAACCAGAACTCACCCACTCATGATCAGCAGCTCCTACTAGTACTTGTAATGTGCACCTTCGACCCTAAACTACACACAGAGCAGCTCATTTTTTGGTGGGAGGGTGTCCATTTAAACCACATTAGAGGAAACTTATGATGAATGTGATTTATATTTTTTGTCTTACAGCTTTAGATAGAGATCAACTCCCCCTTTAAGTATTCTGTTTTGAAGTGAACAGAACATCAGATATTTTTTTCATGAACTCCAGGATAAGCAGATATTGTCTGAATACAAAAGCCATGTTTATTTTTCAATCTTGACATGCTTTGTGTATTTTTCAGATCTGTGCAGTAATGCAGCATGGAAAACTTTACTTTGTGCAGCTTCCTGTAACAAAGACCGGTCACTGCTGCTGCTGCTCTGTCCTTGTTCAGGTGACTGGTCTTGTATCCACCCCTTCCTGTATGTTTTTGCAGGCAGCCTGTAGCGGGTGGGGCCTGCTGGTCCCCTCCCACAGCTTGGCTCTCTGCACAGGCTAGGTACAGCCCAGTGACAGCTACTTTCACCACTATCTGGGTTTGCAAAGGCATTTGGTGCACATAAATGTGGATTTATATACTTTGTGGCTATTAAGGAATAGCATTTAAAATTTTAGTTGCCAGAGTTCAGCTTTAAGTGCATGCACGTGAAGCACTGCGCATGCATGCTAAGCATTATGCAAGTGTAGCGCTTCTATTACATCTCAAAGATCACTGTACTTCCCCTGACAATGCCTTCTTACACCTTTCTCATCAAAGGGAAGGCACAATCTGTCTTTCATGCATTATTCTGGCCAGCTTAGAGAGGTTACAAAACATGTCATTCTGTGTGGTTTTTGGCTGTGCTCACAAATGTCTAAAGGTGCCCACACACCTTGCGATAATCGTACGATAATCGCGGGAAATCCCGCAATCATACGATTATCGTAAGGTGTGTGTGTGGAAGCCGTGCGACCTCTACTACTGTAAGGTTGCACGACTTTTATCTTACGAACATGTTCGAAAACCCGCCGAGAATCGTACGATTTTCGGCAGGTGTGTAGCATGTTCGTAAGATAAAAGCGGTACGGGCCGGCGCGCGCAAGCGCACACTGCCCATCCTCAGCGGGGCGGGCTTCCGATGACCAGCGGGGCGGGAAGGCACAACCGATGACCAGCGGGGCAGGAAGGAACAACCTTCACAGCAACCATCGATATCTGACTGGTTGCCACTAGTGGAGAAGCGCAATATAGCTATACAATCCCCTGGACCAATGGGTACCTTCTCAGGCACAACCCCCACAACAACCATCAATTTCTGACTGGTTGCTACTGGTAACCGCTTATTGGCTTTTCAGTCACTTTGTAATCCATTTTGTTTTAAGATAGGGCTCAGACACACGCAAAAGGATTTCAATACATTTCCTAGCATGGCATTAACCCTTTCTTGACAACTGCATCTGCAACAAAATTATCTATTTGTGTTGCATTTAAGCCAGTCTTCCATGTGTGTTACAAAGCGATTCCAACTCCCCTGGCTAGCTGAACTCTAAAAGTGGAGTTGTCAGTATGTTATACTGCATGATTCCATGTGTGTGCAGTTTTTTCAAATACAATTACTAACAAACGTTGAAAAAGATACTTAGACACGAGATATTATGTGTCCTGACATTTGAGATACATCTGTTCACGTTTACGCTTTTTTATATTGTCAGCAAATAGCTGCTTTAGTTTCTCCAGTGAGAAGCAAAATGTTGGTGCGTTAAAAAGGAAATGACAATCTAAAAATAAAGCGAGGTGAAGTACTTTTAAATATCCTGTTTTCTTCATTGCAGGGGGTGCAGAGTGTATCTGGAGAAGTTAAGGGTGACACAGGAATTTCAGGATGGCGCAACACATGGGATTGATCATAGATCTATATTTAGAGTAACAACTGTAGTCTGTCAGTAGATATTTACTGTAATGTGGAATATCTATATGGCAACATCTAAAATTCTTCCTAAAGCCCAACTATAGCCAAACTTTAGGTGTTTTTTTTAGGTCTTAAAGTAAACCATTCATTAGAATTTCTAGTTAAGAACTTTTAAATATAGTGGATGGGGGTGGGGGAACAGGGTTTTATAGTATTCTGACAGGGGTAGCTGTGCTGCTGTCAGAATGCCCGAACAGCGGATGCAGGTTTGGCTGAAATTTGACCAGTGTATAGCCAGCTTTCCTCTTCCTCTCCCTATGACACAATGACATAAAGGGGTTGGGTGAGGTGCCACTGGGGCAGGAACACACAGACATCAATAGAATTTCAACAGCGTTTATAACTTGTGTGGTTTTGTAACAACTGGACTGTTTATGGCTGCCCTCTCCTAAACACACACACCTCTATCATGACCATTGCCCTTCACTTCATGTATGCAGTATATCCCCTCACAATCCAGCACACCGATATCCTATTATATAGCAGGAAGAGGAATTAAGACAAACACGAATAGCTAAATCTCATCCAGCTAACATACATGACTTGCTGGAAGCCATTTGTCATAAAACAACAACAACAACAACAAAATGGCTTGAGTTTTCCAACGTGATTTTGCCCATTACATTATCACAACTTTCAATATGCCAAGTTTCTTTGCATAATACTTCAGGAAAATAAAATCACTCTAACATGCTGAAAAACATCTCTTTACAAAAACCATTTTCAGAAGGAAAAATAGTTTGATAAAAAAAATCTGTGCAACCTCACTGATCAACAGGCAATCAGTGTGTGGCTAGCTTTATGGACACTAAAGTGCATAGTGAACAGTTTCAGAACAGTTG